GCTCCTATCTAATTTCTACCTTTGAAGAATCTTCAAAATGTACGTAAACATGAATAACGTTACATCGTCAGCACGAGATGTTAATGCAATTGGATGATGTCGCTGTAGGGATTGTATAGAGTGACAACAAGGGATTACATAATGTATTTTAGCATGTTAAAATAAAATTAATCAAGTGGAATTTGACATCGTAGATTGTGCAAATGCTATTCACCCAACGTAGAAGATAGTACAGTAGTAAGAGAGTAATATCTTGCCTAACAATCAAGAAAGTAATTCAATTACTGTTAATACAGTTTTGTACTTAGGTAAACCCGAAGCTCCGGTATTTATTCTATGGCATTAGCTTATGATTGATAAAAGAATCTTATTTCAAATAGATATAGTCGTTTGCAACAAATGTTAAATGTACGGTATTCAGACTGCTTACTATAGTATTGTACTTTCGTAATTAATATAATTTGTTAAAAATACAATATTAGGCCGTACAACGTATATTAGGTTTTATATCTATAATACCTTTGCCAGGAACGCTTACTCTACCCCATTGATATGTATCTTTCATACAGTAGCCTGTTAGCCCTATTTCAATGGCATTTACAGTGTATGCAAACTACTATACTGTATATATAATAAGGAAAGTTTCGGTTGTGACGCTAGAACCCAAGTATTTTATTAAATATAACAGGATTATGAGTAGCTATAAAACTTTCATACAAATTACAGTACACAGTAATATAGCATTATATGAACATAATGAGTAGATAATACTACGTATACTGTCCTTACCAGTATTATAAATTAAATTTATAAATCTAAAAAATTTTAATAAATACGAGTACTGTACGTGGAATAGACATGCTGGGACACCGAAGAACTCGTGATCTGTGATACATGTTAAAATTTCCAGTATTCAAGTACACATATTCCACCATTTTTATGTTACTGTTGGTAGGTATCTGTTGGCTGTGTAGTAAATTTTTCCTAAATTTACAATAGCTCAATTTAGCATTATTTGTAAGTGAGTAAACAAATTCCAGCTAGTCTGATGTCACGGTAACAAAATTGAGCAGCCATCGCATACCCACATTAACGCAGTTTGGTAATATAGCAGTTGCTATACTAACCTTTACAGCTCACTAACTTCATACTCATACTCATACCATACTTCTAGATTTACTAGTTATCTAGAAGTCTAGCTCATATCTAGTAGCAACAATATTGGCCGTCCTTCCAATGTCATAAAACCGTTTGATCATTCTACGCTAAGATGCAGCTGATACAACTATAAATACTGAAATTGGTTTAAAAATCGTATCAGGAGAAAACTGATGCGAGTTAATTACATACTACCACAGTTACAACATGTATTGCACCTGTTACAAAGTATTGATGTAGTATATAGTTGTTATAGGAGAAACTAATTCAGTGTTCTTAATTCTTTATCCTAGCATCATGGTTGATAGCGTGTATCGTACCAGATCATTAGGTGTAGGTGCTACAGGATTGAAAGATCAATATGCTGACGGTAAGGCTGCTCGGGTCTGGCAGTCATACATAGGAGATACTTCGACAAGAACTGCAAATTATCGTCATTGGCTCAGAGACTTATTAAAACATTATGAAGCGGACACTGTCCTTGACGTAGCATGCGGTACTGGGTATGAATTATTTCAGTCTTAAAAAAAGAATTTGGGATCGTATCATCGCTTCGATCGCACTGTAGTGTAACATTCGTCGAATTATAGAGAATTTGCGGTACTGTGTTATTAATTAATTAATGTATTCATTACATAGGATTGATTCCATCGTCCTTTTGGAAGAAGGTTTTACAGTGACGAGTATTGACGCTAGCGACAAGATGTTGAAACACGCACTAAAAACACGATGGCAGAGGCGCAAAGAAGAAGCTTTCGATAAATGGGGTATACGCTCAGTTTATGCATCGTAGAATACGGTGTGTGTGGAATAAATGATGAAATACGATTGTATTCTTATACTTTTTTATTTTATTTGTAGTTATTGAAGAAGGAAATTGGTTGGCCTTACCACAATCAGAAATTGAGATTCCGAATTCCGGTTTTGATGCTGTACTTTGTTTAGGCAATTCATTTCCTCATTTGCCAGATTTTCGTGGCGATCAAGCAGATCAAAAGTTAGCCTTAGCAAATTTTTATGACATACTTAAACCTGGCGGAATTCTAATAATAGATCATAGAAATTACGATGAAATAATCAAATCAGGAACATTACCACAAGAGAAGAACATCTATTATAACAGCAAGGTAGTTTTCTGTATTAATTTATCGGTTTTTTTTAACTTCTGTGAAACATATCCGTTTATCGTATTAAAAATTATTACGAAAAGAGACTCAATTACTAGCATATGTTATTATATGCTGTATCTATGGATTAAGTACTTTTACATAGTGCATCATACATACCTATTAAAAACTATTGAATTGTAAGTAGAAGAAAAGTTACGCAGATTTTTGATCATTGAGTGAAATTATAGGATGAAATGGTGATATGCTGTATAGCTGAGTTACATTAAGCAAATTTACTAAACATTTACCATACTTGTATATGTGTAAATTTACAATCAAGGTATCGCTACAGTATAATTATAATCTACGGCACTGATGAAAGAGTAATTTCTTGATTGATAAATTAATCTAGAGTTAAACCTTAGTAAATATTACTATAGTAACAGCAACAAAAGAGATATACGCTCAAGACTTACTTAAGAAATAATTCAGTGAAAATCTATGCACCTTTCTACGCTAGGATTCAAATCTGAAAGATATTAAAACCTCGGTCCTGCACGTAAACGGAAAACCTACTATGGTAACCCTAGATTATATTATAGCTACAGAGGATGCTGCCTGCGATGCCGGTGAGGCCTATCAAAGCGATAAGAAGGAGCCTGACAACAGGTAAAAATAATATCAGAAACGATTTATACGTTTACGTATTGTGATCTAGAGCTTTTGGAACTATATTACTGAAGTGTAGTCTTGCTACACCTCCTATGCTTACGAGCTGTGATTAATCTCCAATATATCGTTTTTACATTTTCTTTCTATAGTAAGTTCCGGTTATCCTACTACCCACATCTTGTTGATAATTTTACCGAGTTACTTCAAAACACTTTTGGCAGCAATGCCAAGCACGAAATTTTTGGAGATTTTAAGTCTTATAAAAAGGATTCAGGCAAACCGCCACTATTTTTCATTCACGTTATCCAAAAGCCTTTATAAAGTAATAACGAGAAAAATAAAGAATAGACGTACTTCTTTGTAATATGAATCTCCTGTAGCTACAACTTAGGTTTAAGTCCGTTATTGCAATTTGTGATCGTCATGTGAGGTCAAGCAATACTATCAAATAATGCTGCCAACTCTTAATATAATATGAGTAGTGTATGTAGTTACGTAAAATCATTAATAATTATAAGGTACATGGTATACATTAAAAAATTTTCATGCTTACACAAGTAAGATGTATAGTGAAGCGATATTAAGATATTCTATTGGTTTATATTTATTATATAGTCTAGTCCTAATAAAAGGATATTTCTGTTGTAGTGTTTCAGTCAAGTACCGCATGATAACGACATACTTTGTTCGTTCACCAAATTAAATAAAATTTCAATTTTTTTTAAATTTGCAATCGCTCTACTCACTTTAAATTCATCGAAAGAGAACATTTGTAACATCTGAAGTTTCAAATTATGATAACAGCGAATTCATAAATAATATATAATTTAAACTTACTGAATCAAAATTTGTGTTGCTGTAAATATAATCGAACTCATCTCTTTTCGTTATGAGTATCAATCATCAAAAATTTTTCTAACTCTAAGTAGACGTAGACATACGAAATCATGTCAAGTTATAATTACTGAATCTCTACAACTTTAGATCCAGTAAAATAATATAATTATTTCCATAAACTTCAATAAAGTTTACTAACTTAAAAACGTGATAATTTTTAATCAATTTGTATTCATCATGCAATATCCCTCTTCAGAATGACTCGTTATGAAAATAGACGACGTATAAGACGCTAACATCATTATCCAGCTTTATTAAGCTTCCAAAATTGTTAGCAAATACAAATACAGAGGCAATATCTAAGAATTAGGTAGGTAAGCATTTTTTAATTTTGTGTTAGGCCACTATCCAGTATCAGTGTGATGATGCTATAATATATAAGAAAACAAAAAATTGGAATTTCTCGAAAAGGAACTGTATCTCAAAAACATAGGGAATTTCTTTGTCACGAAGTACTATATTACAGTTGTTTTAATGCAAAATATGAAAATTAAGCACTGCCTTACTGAACTTAGTAAATGTCAGTCCAACCTTAACAATAGAGTGTAAGGCTTAAACCATTGTTAATAACTATTCTACGTAGAAGAATTACACTGTGCAAGTGTCATATACGAATATTCTGTCATAAACGTACTACACTACAGTGCTACATCATTACTGCGTAGGAAAGGCTTGATAACCACCCCAAGCATTTGGTTGCGGGTACGCGTAACCCCCCTATAATCGTAGAATTTAACATTAGCGCAATTATCGCCGAAATTAAATCTTAGATTATATATCACGTTACGCAACATGTATTAATGTATACTTGTCCGTAAGCAGCCCATTGTTGCTGTTGTTGGTAATACATTGATGGATCCGGCACTCCCATCGGATTTGGAGTCGTCGGAGCAGATGCAATAGCGTTTGGATCTGCTGCACTATCGGATTTTAGTTGCTTGGCTTGAGTATCTGATTGCCTAAAGTATATTCAAAATAACGGTTTAGCGACTAGTCATGGCAGAGATTTACTTCATTTAGATTAGTCAAGCTAAAGAAATAGCTTACCCATCTTCTAAAGGTCGTTTTCGTGAATTCGTATACTTCGGTAAGTCAACGTTGTACGTTGTTTCATGACTTTCATATGCTTCTTTTATTCTGAAAATTACGAACCGGTATAGATACTATAAGTTTACACATAAGGTCTCATAGCTCGGAATCAATCACAGCTTACCTTCCAATATCTGTTTCGAAATCTTCCAAAAAGTTTAATCTCATGCGAGAAAATTCTTCCTTACAAGTTGATGGTAAAGCATCGTTAGCAAATATTATAGAAAATACAGCTTCAATGCGAGTTTTATCAACACATCCTGGTTGTGATAATTCTAGATCGAGTAATTGCCAATACAAAGCTTCCGATTCCTGAAACACAAATTAACTTTTAGTATTGTAAACATAACAATGACAGCTTAAATTTAAATCCTAATACTACTTGCCTTGCACTTTTCAATCCCTTCCGTTAACGTTTGCCTTGCCGCATTGACATCACCTCTCACCTAAAATGCAAAGTTTACAGTCAGAATACTTGAATTTTAAAACAAATGACATACCATATAACAGCAATCGCGTACCTGGAGATGATACTTAGAAAGCTGGGAAATATAAAGAGATCTCGTAAGAGATGATTTTGAATTAGAAATCGCATCTGAATATAAACCATTGATATTATCAGCGTTTCCACGACGGCGAGCTAAATTTATACGATGCATAGTAACTACAGCTAAATCAGGCACACGGTCTAATAAAGTCTTCAAGATATCATCTGCTCGATCAAAATTGCCTAGTAAAAACGGGAATAAACCGCATGACATTAATTCTTACCTGAATGACATATTATCACCCTTAGACATAAATTTTACTAACCAAATTTCTCTTCAGCAGTAGCCCAAGCGATATGAATACTATGTTTTCGAGGCAAATGGACCGTGCATGCTTTCTCAAAAACAGCTAATGAACTTTTAGGATTACAATCTTCCATATATTTCGCATACTGTTTCGTCAAGGAAATCAATAGAATTAGTATTGCAAGTGTAATGCACTCCAGTTTCTATAGTATAAAATCTATGTTCGATAGCCACCTTAAGCCAGAATTCTTCATATAAAGCACAAGCGATCAAACAACGTTCGAATAATACACGAATACGATTCTGATCTCCTTGCTCAATTTCAAAGTCTAAGTACTCCCTCCAGTTTTTAAGTTGATCTTGCTCCAAAGGTTTAACATGGAAATAAGGCCTTTTAATCTATGAGAAAAAAAGTAAGCGTATTTACAAATTCTAAACCAGAAATAATAATTATGTGATCTCGCAGCAGAACAAGAATGTTAGCATTAAGAATTTCGAACCTTATCCTCGAATCCCCAACGCTTCTTAACTTCCTCTTCATTTGCGCTGTACAGAGCTTGTCTAGGTTTTATCAGCCAAGCCCGTACTGATTCTGTAGTAATTGGCTAGAAAATAAATAATAGTATAAGTAGATGATATAAGGTATTATAAATTGAAAAAAGTTACTAATAAATAATCTACTTAGCAAATTATCTATATTGACAGTGTCACCTGCTCTGCATCACCGGATGAGGCAATCTCAGATTGGATACTTGCAAGATCTTCTTCTGACAAGATATCTTCAGGCGTGTTGTTGTTGATAAAATCAGTTAAACTAAATGACATAAATTGTGTAAATCTCAATAGGGACATATTTATCAAATTTCTTCAATTACGAAGCCATTTACGGTTAACATCCATTTCAGTATACATACCTTAAAATATAACTGCCATATTGTCGAGTAGGGATTTTAAGTATTTGATCGAATATAGGGATAACATTTTTCAGTAATCCAGATCCTTTTTCCCAAGCAATATAAGAATTCCATAAAACATCCGAAATAAACTCCAATCCTGCCGTTGCAATGGCCCGCTGGTATAAACTAATCGTGTAACGAATATTTATATACTTAATAAATTACATCAATAGGTGATTTTTTTTACAGTTGCCCACGAGAATGACAAATATTAATGTACACAAAGAGGTAACCAAATTCGTTTACCTTTAAACTGAGATTGAAGAGAGTTGATGATATTTTGTATAACGAATATCAATGGCGAGCTTTTTTACATGACAAGATATAGTTGACTTTTTTAACTTTTACAGCTATATTGTGCTCTTTTATTAACATAGCCTGCTAACTGTTAATTTTAGATCATTATCTACGGTAAATACGAACTCAAAGCTGTATGACGTAATACTAACAATCATCAGCTTGTTTAAAAAATAAAAATAAAGAGTAAGTACTTAAAGAAAATCGACATATTCAATCTTACCCCCGAATTTCATCTATTCTATTTTCACCACTTTCTTCAACAGATTTTGAGAAAAATGATAGATAGCTTTCCCATAAATCTATGCTCAAAGGGATAGCATTTACGCCAGCTTCATAGATCTGATTATAATATACCAGAAAGAATAAATCATCACATTTGTAACCGATATCATAATTAGCACTTTTATCTAGATTAATAGCGTAGAAACTAGTGAAAGACAAAGTATCACAAAGCAATACTTTAAGCTTTTTGCTCTCTTTGTACTTTGTCGACAAGATACTATTTCCAAGGTTGTTCCAGCGGTTACTTCCATAAAAAGTAACTGTAACTGTCCTACGAACGTTGTCATTAAGGATATATAAAACTGCAAAAGCTACGAGTACGATCGGTCACCAACCAAAAATAGTTACCAAAGCATATTCTAACGATATATTTGGTATTATCTACTGATCCATTTAATTAGTTGAAATGTACACATGAGGAAGATGTCGATAATTACCTGTAAAACTTGATTGGAATCAGTGTATTTAATGGCTAATTCGGCATATTTTTTCCAATATCCGTAGCAGTAGGGATAATGCTTAAAGAATTCGTTATAAGCCCCAGAAATGTAGCTAAAGTCCTCCTATACATATAGAAATTAATTTTTACATTTAGTATAGTAAAATCCACGGTTATTATCATCTGCTAAAGTGCTATTATAATATCGGCATGTTGTTATTTTAAGATCCTATCATACCTTCTTCTCGACATATTGTAGTAAGTACGTCCAAGAATCGAAGTCGCTTGAATTTTGTCTAACAGGTTTCCAATATGCTTCTAATTCATCCTCTGCAGTCGCATTTCCATCTGCTGTTGGATTTGTAGCTTCATCCTGTTGCTGTTGTTGTTGAGTTACTACTTGCATATCTGCTTGATTTTCCATTTTTGATCGAAGTTTAACTATGAAATTTTATCAAGATGTGCAAGGTAGATTAGATAAAGAACTCTAACGTCGTTAGCAGATTACATATTTCAAGCACCGTGTATTAAAGTGAAAAATTTTATACAGTACTAAGAATCCCTCGCCTGGTTGATAATTATGATACAAATGTTTTTAACTACTCTATCTCTGATATTACAGTGCATTAATACGGGTTAAAATGTGGGATTCCAAGTAAAAATCACAGTCCGTATCATTGACTAATATACGCATAGCTGAGTACTTTAGGATGACCAATAGCAGTAAAAGTAATTTAATAAACCCGCACGACATTTTCGTAGTGACTGTGAGAAAATTAATAATTGATACACCCAACCGCGCACCTAATCATGGATTACTAAAGGAACATTTGGCAATCCATGGATTTCGCGCTATTTGCTATTAGTTAGTTAGACCCTTTTGCACCAAATAAATAGCGATAATAAAAGCGACTAAGCGAGCCTAGCAAGGCGGCTGCCCTAGAGCTCGTATTCACTAAAAATTCTAATGACCACAGGTAGTAAATTCGTATTCTATCTGTACATGATAATCTGTGGTAGTGATTACAAATTTAGCTACAACATTTCTCACCATCAAATTATTAATAATTAATCCATTATGAATTATTATAGTGTAGTGCTATGTCTAAGGTATAGATGTAGCGGCAAACTACCGTAAAACCGAGCATTTCGTCTTACGCTAATAATTCTAATTTATACGGAAATTTTGTCATTTTATTACTCCTATGTGTACAAAGAGTTCGACCGTATTTCACAAACGTATAAATGACTGATTACTCCATCGTGATGTGCAACTCAAACTTGAATGATATTACAATCGAGCATCAATGAATGTCACTATTATAACCCCTCAAATTTAGAATTTCTTCCCTTTTATCAACTGGTCAGCGCTGAACTATACGTAAAATTACAATAATCAATAATACTGTTTCACTAGTGGAATGCATTATCTACTAGCTACTGATAGTCTACTGTACTAAATAACTAACTAAACAGCAACTTGATACATCTTTATTCCTTGATCATACATACAAAGAAAACACGAAAATTTATCACGCATTGTCGATCATCATAAAATTTGAGACCCAAAATCTTAAAAAATAAAGTCTTAACGAAACTACAAATACTTTTAATTGCCAACATAAAACTAATTTCTACTTCTTCAACTTACAAAATGGATCTTTATGTTCAGATGGATACGATAAACTATAGATTCAAGCGCCAACGAATTAATCCGCTCAAAGAAAGTCAAATGCTAAGATACTTCGATGGCGCCCCCGTTAACCCACCAGTCACGTTTAGTCTTACTGTACTGTACTATACACTGTACACTGTACACTGTACAGCACAGTTAGAGGCTCAAATACTAAATACGGTACTGTAGTCTGTACTGTACTGTACTGTACAGTACAGTACTGTGACATTGGGCCTCATTTCGTTTTAAATCTAAATCTACAGTATTTAATCCAAAATAATCTGTCCGTCTGTGATCTTTCAGTCCGTCATACTGTACTGTATTAAAACATATGCACTGTACAGTACTGTAGTCTGTACTGTACTGTACTGTACTGTGACATTGGGCCCAATTTCGTCTTAAATCTATTTAATCTAAAATAATCCGTCCGTCTGATACCTTTCAGTCCGTCATACAGTATTAAGTAGATTTAAGACGAAATGAGGCCCAATGTCACAGTACTGTACTGGATGTACTGTACAGTACAGTACAGTACAGACTACAGTACAGCGCGTGTGTTTTAATCTACTGTAAAAAAATAATCCGCTCGTCTGAGACCTTTCAGTCCGTCATACAGTATTAAAACACATGCACTGTAGTCTGTACTGTACTGTACACTGTACAGTACAGTCCTGTGACATTGGGCCTCATTTCGCATTAAATCTATTTAATTTAATTAAATCTAAAATAATCCGTCCGTCTGAAACCTCTCAGTCCTTCATACAGTATTAAAACACATGCGCTGTAACAACATAAGTGTCACAGTACTACCACTGTCAGCTCGGTCAAGAATTTCAAGATCGTACGACACTAAATGCGTCCGTTGATCGTTTGAAGCGTACTAGTACGTACAACACTAGTTTGAGTAGTTTGAGGCTTTGGAGGCTGAAGCTCATTCACGGACGGATCTCTAAAAGCTGCCACTACACCATGTTCCCTATCTTAGCTTCGTCGCTATGCCGTTCACGAACTCGTCTATTAGCTTATGGATCTATTGTAAGTACCACTAAACATAAAGCTTTTCCATTGCAAGGTATCACTTCTTGCTAAAGCATACAATAAATAAACTACAAGTTATCTAGCTGTATGTTTTTTATAGCACAGTACAGTACAGCAGTTTGCAAGAGCTATTTACAGCGTGAGCATACTGACAAATACTCGTATGGTATAATGTGAAAGCTATCCTATCCATGCAATTTTTTATTGTTATTGTTTGCTGTTCTGCACATATTAATACTGAAAATTGATATCATTGCAGTGGTCTAGACAAATTGAAAATCTGGCTCCAGCTGACCAAAAACGTGACCGAAAGGCTTATCATCAAATAAATTACAATGTTTATCCCCATATCCCTTTACGCCAAATTGATTCCATAAGTGGATGGATGCCTCCACTAGGTAGAGTATGACTGCATTACACACTTAAAAATTAGAGATTTAAACAGCCTTCTTGATATCATAACTCATGTAACTTCATTCTACTAGATTCACCTCCTCCTTTACCCTTTCGTATCAATCGTTCCAAAACGAATAATATCCCAGTATATAGCGAGATTAGAAAAGGGCGCACCTTACACCTGACTATCATTAGAAAGATTGAAGGAGATTTACATGTAAGTATCGTGTGCTTTATGAGTTAGCTTGAAGATACTTGTTGATCATATCATTACATTTATATTTTCAAGGCTGTTAAAGAAGGTTTAAAGCGCTTATTGGGAGAAGATGTACAGATTCAAATAAATGAAGTAAATAGCCAAATCTTTATCAAAGGCAAACATGTAAAGCCTATTACCAAATGGCTACTACTTCTTGGATTCTAATAGCATAGAATTTTAAATAGCTTAAGAAATTGTATCTTATGCACATTCTAAAAAACATTCATCACCGCCTGCCTGATTAGCCTGAATATTGTAAATAAGATTCTAGCAATGACCGAATGCTAAATTTGCTGATATTATCTTTGTGAATCTCACGGACTATCAATCGATAACAAGCGTCATGTTTTTATAGGGAGATTTCTATAGAAAAATAATGAAAATTTTCATCATCGCACAAATGTCAACTGTATTTATGGTACAAATAGTACAAATAGTTTAACTACGATTCTATCAGGTAATTAATAAAGCGAATACGTATTTAAATACCTATCTTGCTGTGTCATGAAAAGATTGAAATCTTTAAACGGGAAATCCTTATAATTACGTATTTAAGCGTACGACTGCATAGCAGCAGCCTTACGAAAGAGCTACAGTAATATAGCAACAATTCGAAACTGTCGGCTTACATATTGTCCTTTAAGAACGTTTTATTCTTATCAGTTGCTTTTTCTAAATGTAAATCCTATCAAAGCGTCATTACAAATGTAGTAAACAATCAAATCTTCAAAATGAAGATGGTTGGAACTAGGAAATAAGTATTATCGTTTACGGTAATAGGCTCATCTCCTTATTAATTCCTAGTCGCTTATACTTTATTAAATGTATTAATTTAACAGAATTTACCGGATAAAAATTTTAAAATTAGCCTCCTGTCTCAGTACGAACTATCATTAAAAATAGGAAGCCTAATTCTAATTTAATGAACGATTATTAACTTACAGTATATGACAATTACAATTAAAATACTTGCAGTAGGAATCACTGTATTTATAGTTTGCTACAGTAAATTATACTGTATGTTGTACCGTAATAGGTACTAGTCGAACCTTCGCTCGTGATACTTCGGGTACCATACACTACATGTACTTTTTACTTTACGTTATCACTGTCATATTAATACATGTACATAGTAATGGAGATTTAGTTGATTGCACGATCCACTGTGATTACAATTCTGATCAATATTAAATTATACGAATTGAAATACTATAGTCCAGTTATCTCGAATTATATTACTATATAATTATTATCTAGAATTAGTCGGTAGACATCCATATCTATAAATATTGTTGTATTAATTTTAGTTATTGAGTAAAATCAATTATTAGAAAGTTAAGACGAATCATCCATGTTATCACTTGTAGATGCTATATCTATGAATGTAAGATGATAACACCGTAGAAAATCAGTTTATTATCAAAGATAAATAAGCAGCTACTTTAGACAGGATATTTATATTATATTTATTAAAGTAGTCCATTACAGTATAGCATACAATTAGATTCGAAATAGAAGAAACGATGATTATGTACGATAAGTATCGTCGCTTTACTGCTATTCCTAGAAAAACTTAAACAGCTATTCATTGCTGCTATAGATAATATCATCATATCCATTTTCAATTTAATCCAATATACATGTAATATTCGCAAAATAAATTTGACATATTATTTATTTACAATACACTTAAGTATAGTAACTAGAAATGTTAAGAATTCCAGCAAAAGATAGCTAATATCATGGTCATTGAATAGCGCAATTAACTTTCAGTATATCTCCCGAATACATGACTACATGACTACATAGCATCATATGTTTATAGTTCACAAATGCTAATTCTCGTCGAAAGATTCAAAATCGCTAGGATAGCTTTCTTCCTCGTCTGATCTTTCTTCCTCAAAATCTTGTGAATATTCATCGTCTGATCTGTCCCCACTTTTAATACAGAAAGAAAATATACATTAATCAAAATCATAAACTCTCCGAATCGCAATAAAATAGTTTTATCGGCATTTACAGTACACGCAGCTATCTACAAGTGCTATTGTACATTGGTTCACTCATTTTTACAATATATATTTATAACATCAATACAGAAGTTGACATTTAATTATTTGCCAATCTAAGTTTATACTTGTGGGCTACGAATTCTCGGACTGATCGTCTACATAAACACTACGGTATGTATTATGCTGTTAAATTTTTACTATTTTACATCTATCTTGCTTTTATGTCATACATGATTTTTATAGCTAGCAACTTATTATAGGTTGAATATACTCGACTTATAGTATGAAAAGAAAGAACTATTCCAAATAATCTAAAAATTACTTACTCGTTATTTCTTAGACTGGGATCACCGTGCGAGCTATCTTCGTGTTCTGACAATAAGCTTTGTTGCTTGGAATCAGAAGCAGATGAACTCTTGCTATCTACTTGTTTACTCGTATTTAAACTTTCCTTCCTTGCTACTGGTGGTTCTTTGTTCTCTTCTGCTTTCAAAAAATCTTGGACATATGAGTATGCTAACGATTTTGCATCACTATAAGGCCTCAAGTTCGGCTCTTCACATTGTACATCGGATGAGCTCTGGCCTTCTACAGGAGAACATGATTCGTGGTATGATTTAAGATCTGGTTCTTCTACCGTTTCAGTTGTTTTCACAAGGCCATGCATATCAGGAAGTGAATTCCAGTTTTTACTTGATACTGAATTTACTCCATCATCTTGAAAATCTGATGTAAAACCAGGATCATTTCGTGATAATACCTCTATGTTATTAATGTCTCCTTCCTCCATAGTGCTATTATCCTTTTCGGGTTGTAATCTCCCTGAATTTCCGGTATGATTTTCGGTAAATGATACAGTTGCATTATTATCTACACCATTTTCAGAGCTAGAGTAATTTTTATTTAGGCTAGAGCTGTCCATTTTATCGGTATTTATTTCTTCTATAACATTAGAATGCAATTCACTACGCGCCTTAGGATCAACCTTTGCATCTTTTATATTATTATTTACAATACGATCGCCAACATCGTTTGAAATCTTATCAACTCGTTTTTTTTCTTTTATTTTTGCAAATCTTAATCGCTGCGTTTTAGTAGATCGAAATTTCAAAGTTGAACCCTTTTTTGAAGTGTATTTGTCCTTATTATGATGTAAAGTTATTTCATTTGTTTCATTGGAACTATGTGGAATCAAACTGGAATTAGTTTCTGAATTGTCTTCATCGTCGGCGACATCAACTTCTTTAACAAGATCTAAAATTTCACTTAATAGAGCATTCAATATTGGAAATTCATTAAGTTTGCTCCTAAGTTGAGCCTTAGAAGAAACAGATAAACTTCGTGAATGCACTTGTCGGGAATCAGTGCCCTTGACCGGAATAGTTTTGTCTTGATTTTGAAATTTATGCATCTGGGATTTAATAGAATCCGGCGAAGTATCTACCTCTAAAATTTCAGGGACATAATCACTGCCGTCGGAACTCTCACCTTGATATCTGCAAGTCCCTACTTTTAATCCTTGATCATCAGATAAACTATTATAATATAACGGTACCGGACAAAATATATTTGCGGATATATTTTGTGGAATATTTCTATCTTCTTGAGTAAATTCTTTGTATAAGAGTAATTCATTTTCTTTTCTGAGTTTTGATTTCTTAACTTCAGTCTGCGTTTCGACAGTTTTTTTCGATGACTTGACAGGTAGGCTTTGCTCTTTATCATGCTCATCATTAGGTCCATTTATTAAAGCATTTACAGTTTTACTTACTTCCGCTTGAAGTAGAGACTGCTGTTGTTGATTTACAGTTGACAGATTATCAGTAACATGAGGTAGTAGAGATTGCCCCATACTTAATAGTTTGTACTTTAACGACATCATTCCTATTTTAGCTCCCATTAGATTATGTATTGGAAAAGTACCTTTCTCTCCTATAATAACTGGGATATTAATATCCAATCTACTAGTTTTGGCATAGATCTTTTCCATGCAATGATTTAGTGATATCAAAATGCTACCAACCAATTTCGGAACTTTTTGCCAAACATCAATGATCATGAGACATAAAGGTGTGCTGGATAAATACTCACGTAAATCTTTTAAATTCATTTTAAATAAGCACGATTTACCTCGATTGATGGTGTAGCTACCATCGTAATTTCGAACTTTTTGTTCAATATCTCGTGGTAGAAATGATGAATTTAGTTGATCTGATGAATATTGTTGCTTTAATTCGTCAACAGCTTGAGGATCAAGTTGGTAAATGGTGTTAATTGGAAAATCAAGAAATCGAAAGGATATAGCCGGCAAAGCACAATGGACTTGTAGATTTTCGATACAATCTATTAATATTTCTAAGGAAAATAAGCTTTCCTCCATCATGACGTACTAAATGTAACCTGGTGTACGATATTATCCAGGATAATAATAGCGTTTTTGAAATTACCACCTATGGGCTCGTGCTTGAATTGCAAAATCAAATCCCAGACCATAGCAACCAATCTTCCAGAGAAAATATTCTGGAGGGTAAAATTCTGCTCTGTAAGCTTGTACTTGTATACGTATTTCAGTCGTCCATTTCTTCAAAACAATTGCAATATCGATAGAAATAAAATTCGCTACAAGATATTCCCTAAAAATATTAAAGTATTACAACTTAATGTACAGTATAAGCGATTTAAAAGAATTGATTACATGCGTGCATGATTATTTTGATGTAGACACTACGATCAAGCTATTATGTTACGGCCATTCCTATATATACATCACCAGATAATCTAAATACAGTATATTTAATTTTTTAAAATTCGTGGACTTACTGTATTATACCATATTTGTCACAATTTCAACTCTGCAATAAGGTAACGTACAGTAAAAGTTTATTATAAGTAGCTACTGACTTAAACGCCCATTTACTTAACGTTAAGCACACACAGCAAATTACGGTAAAGATAAAACTTTTATTAGCAAAGATACATCTCAACTTTTCACCATACCACTCAACTCAAATATTCCCATCTATATAGGAAACGTCTAATTTGTAAACAACAACAGTATTATTATTACTATTATTTCACTAGGAGAAACATCTCGAACTGATATGTTCCTTATATAGCTTTTCTATCATTAAATGTTTCGAATCTCTTACTCATACTTACAGTAATCTTAATCTAAGCACGTACAGTAGGTCGTCTAATTCAACTATCATCAACTAGAACTTGAATGATGTTACTACTGTCTATCACACAATAGCAATCAATATCAACTATGTAATGAACTATCAGAAACAACATCCACGTTAAAGCATTACTTATCTACAAATATGGATATTTTCCATATTAGCTACAGCACTACTGTACTTATTAAACTATCCTAACGGCAAGGCAACACCGTAACAATACTTTACTTCATAATGTGCTTTTACGGCAACTTGAGACTTAAATATCATCATTGTGATATATTATAGAATTATGTTTCATTAATGATAATGTTATATTCTACTATATGTATTATGAATAAACTACCGTACTTCTGGAGCTGTATCACCAGTGATAAATTGTATCTTTGATCAGTGTTATGACAGTACGTGCAGTGGTTAGGGCTATTTGGATCGACAAATCAACTAATTTACTCGTAGTTGTTTTTTTTCTTGAATACAATACGCTTCACTCATGCTATTACCTGATAAAGAGCTACATGTAACTAAGACAAATAATGCTCATCTTACTTTTATAATGTAACTAAGACAACTAATGCTCATCTTACTCTTATAATGTCCAAAATAATCGTTGCAATGAATTTCACCTTCCTGTGCTCAATTCAAGATTGTAACCATGGAGTTTAGTCGTTGCCGGTATGCTAGTTCCACATAATATTGTAAATAGCACAATGTACAGTACAGTATAGTACAGTGTACAGTACAGTACTGTACTGTACTGTAGATCCTGAACTCTGGCGCCTTTTTGAGCTTAATTTTAAAACACCATACTGTACTGTACAATTTGTACATGTGCATACGGCACCCTGAAGCAGACACTATATTACATTACAGTACTGTACAGTATATTGGGGATTAGCGGATGAAAATCTGTCACAAAATTCTAATACAAAAATTGCTCAGGTATGAATAGCTACACATGGTGATGTGATGGTGATAGTTGGAGCTAGAATCACCCTGGAAACTCTGCTCTAATATTACTGCAATTTTGTTATCATCACGAAGTATCTGATTTGCTTGTCAATAAAGCCTTTCCATACTTAAAGCCACGAACCACGACTTTGGCAGCAATAGCAGTTAAATCGGCAAATAGACGAATAAACAAGAATCTATTTATTGTGCATAAATTTCAAAAATATCCAACAGTAATGATCGGTAGTATGGCAAGGTCTTTGTGTTATTGTTTTATACGGTTCGTTGTACACTAATGTGCAGTAGCATCAGTAGATAGAAATATCATCGATGCACACAGGCGTGTATATGTGTACGTGTACAATTATTTTAGAATACATCGTGGAAATTACACTTGACAACTTGTTGCTAGTTTATTCAAGAACCTATTTTTGTTCCAGCACTACAAAGTTGGCCTTTCGTTAATTGCCTGCTTTTCCATTGCAACCACTTTAGAAGAATATCAACATTCAAATTATGAATGCTCGTGGATTATATTACCTAAATTATGCTACGCGGCGATACTCAATTCTTCGATCTTCGCCTTCTCTTTATCCACAACGTATTATCGCTACAACATCTCAGTTCATCCATTTATGGTCTCATCGTTATGATCATCATTTATTGATATTCGATCAAAATATAAATAAAAAATCGAAACAAAACTTCACGATCGACTGTTTAAAGTTACATCGGAAAAAATGGAAAATCCCGTACGATCCTGATGACGATACTAAACCTCATTACTACCGTAAGCGAATGGCATGGTGTTGTAAACAGGATACTATTAATGAAGCTATTGAATTAATGGATCAATCTATTAACCAATCGGTCACTCTAGATATCGGTACGTTTAATTCGTATCTGTATTTAGTAATCAGGTATAACTTATTCGATAAAATGATTCAATGTGAAAAAAAAATAAGACTACAAAATGTAGCTTTTGATGCTACGACATATAGCACTTTAGCAAGTGGATATTCCAAAATGAACAATTGGGTAACAGCTTTAAACTTACTCAGAGAAATGCAATCCAAAGGTATATATGGTAAAGCCCGAAACTATAGTCCATTAATTTCTGCAGCTGCATTAGACAATCAACATCAACTAGTCTTTGACTTATTAAATGAAATCAAGAATCCAGATAAATTATATTTATTCCCTGATGATAATATCTATTGTGATATCATTGAAATGTGTGCAAGAAGGTCAGTAAACAAATCTCGCTCGATGTCATAATAACATCGATCATACAATATGGCATGTAAAAATTGTCCTTCAATTTTTCGTTCATTTATATTGTTTTTGCAATTCAATTAGCCAAGATTCAACAGAAATATTTAAATTAGCTCAACATATCTATGAAATATTTCGGAGAGAAGGTTTGCGTATAGGTTCGCATCTCAAACCTTCTATATTGAAATGGTTTAGAAGGTGATTAAAAGCAATAGCATCAGACAACTTGAATCACATCAGATTGGACTCTTTTGTGTAGCTTATAACACTCTATCACTAGAACTTGCAAACAGTAATTGTTACTTTCTTTAATCTTTTTTAAAATTATCTATCTTCTCTAGTCATCCTACGAGCAATTGGGAAATACGCCATACAGCGATTACGCACAGGTATAGCAATGTTTGCTTAAATGATTGACTTTAAAATATTTTTATTTATTCACATGTAGTATATCAGAATTTACAATAATAAAATGTTTGGCACAATTATTATTATTATGAAATATTTTAATATTGACAGATTGGCTGCTGTAACATACAGTAATAGCATACCCTTACTTAGTAATGTAGTAAAATTTTTATCATGTCGATTTACATGCACAATTATGAAACAGTGATGCACTAACTTTATCATCTTAATAGGCGTAAAATCAAGTCGATTTTACATCGATACTGTTGCAACTGTTGTACTGATCATATCTATTGTTGACATTTAGTGGTTACTGCAAATCTTGCAAAGCGCAACTAGAATCTATCGAACTAACATCCGACCGACAAGAACGCTTGCGAGAAGTTATATCGCAATCAATATCCAGTGGTGAAATCTTTAAGAAATATAAGGGTGACAGTAATGCAATAATGTCAGATTATAGCGGTAAAATTGCTTACGGCTCCCCTGATCAGAAGGTGCTCGTAAAATATAGTCAAGATCCTTTCAAAGATTTCTGTCAATGGCTCCATCCTACTCGTAAAGTAGATATCGTTATTGATGGACTGAACATAGCCCATGGTCGTAATTCTTTTGATCCTTTGAAGGTAATTTGTGAAACATGTCTATTCTAATTGTTACGAGGAATAAAAAGTACTCAAGGAAAAACAAGATAGTTTAGTTTTCTAATAACTTCACCAGCTTTTGTTGATTAGTGGTACTATAGTGGATTATAAAATGCTGTGAAGTTTGAAATTTAGAAATTTGTTGTTTAACAGATCCTGAAAGTGATACGACATTACAGGGCACTCGGCAAAGAAATACTGCTAATTGCAAGAATTCATCTTTTAAAGGAGTCAAACAAGTCTACCAAGTATAAAGCCATGATTGATAGTATCTTTTCCAGTTGCCGAGTATTCTTGTGTCCAAACAAGTATGCAATAGATATTCAGTTATATATTTCTATTAAAGATTACTATATCTGCCTGATGAAGTCATAAATAATCGTTTAATGTACTCTTATGCTATATTTAGTTGATGCTCAATAATGCGATTTTAACAATATCTTATAATCTATAAATGAATTTTGATTTCTCTGTTCTTGGATAGCCATAGCGATGATGTGTACTTTTTATATGCCGCCGTACATGGTGGAATGAATGTTAAGTTAATATCAGATGATCAATTTCGAGATTTTAAGAAGGGCTTCAGTCTGACGCTCTTGAAAGACTTTTTGCAATGGTTGCGCGGACACCAAGTTCGCGTTGAACGCTTCCGAAAAGGAAAGAAACTTATCTTGACGGCAAGTAAAACTTACAACATAATCAAAGAGCTATGCTATCCAATTATCTTAATTGATGTGATATTTTAATGTAATTATTTCTACCTTTATTTTTTATTACAGAACTGTCCTGTTTACGATACAGTAGTCCAAACTAATGACCAATCATGGCATTTCCCTACGGATGAGGATAATGTATGGATATGCGCCAAAAAAATATAGCTAACTTTATCACTTTATATACCTCCGCAATCTCTTCGCAAATTATATTGAAATCAGTCAGTATTACTTTTCTACTACGCACACCTTAATCTAGGCCGAATACATATTTTTTGATCTAAATGTTATATCTACAAAAAGATAGCTTCTATCTTGACTATATAAAATCAATGCATATACATTTATTATAATTTTATTTCACCTGTGCATTAGTCATGAAGGATTCCATAAAGTAATCGAAGATAACCAGTTATAAAAACAATATCGACAAAATGCAAGGGCGAATTTTAAAATTGTGCCTTTATAAAGCTGAATAGACCGAAAAGAAACATTGTAAACAACATTGGATAAGTTTAAATGCATAAGAAAACGTTGTTTACGATTGAGAACCACCTGATAGTAGCCTATATTAAAATTGTATAATTACAGTATTTCTATCTCAACTTGAAACAATACAATGAACATGAGTAAGTAGATTACAGATAAGGATATAATTAATTAAGGATAATTTATAAAATGGAGTTACAACATAATATTTCTACATCTAAATTGATTGCATCGTTATACAGAAAAATGAAAGTTGCGAATAAAATTATGGTGATTAACAGGTACTGGTACTGTATTTAGAAAATGGCACTTGTGTTAGCATTATTAATTCTAACAACTCTAGAATAATAACCAAATATCACGAATTGTTACTGTCAAGCTCTTATCAAATAATGTTGCACCATTCTATTATGAAAAGAGGAGGTATTTAATGCTGGCACCATGAGTATCATAATATCGTGCCACCCTACATAAATTCAACGAATATTCAAATTCGTTTACGAATGTTTATATCACAATAATTCATACCTTACAATAGAATCAAACTCCTTTCATTTATAGTAATCTATGGCACATTAAAATGGAAATCGAAATAGCTACGATAAAACTAAATATAGGAGACGATCTAACGTTGTATGAACCATTACTTGATGTAGAATACGATCCTGAAACCATATTGTTGGCACCTACTCCTGGCGTAATAATTTCTACAGCGGTATTAGCCACTTTAGAAGGAATAGCAGTGCTAGCAACTGTAGTAAGAGTTGTTGAAATTGTCGAGGTTGTAGCTTTTATTGTTGTTGCGAACTGACTTGTAGAGATAAGTGTTGTATTAACATTGACATTGGAAAAAACTTTACAACTCATCATGACATCCACCACTGTTCTAGATTGTTTCGGCAGGCTAAGAATTTAAATATAATAACAATTTCGTCAAAATCTAACATTAACATTCACTTGTAAAATCGTACATCAAAGTGATTAATCACTGCGATTAGCATGAACAATTTACGTATATGAATTCTAAAATTTACGGAAAACAAGTATGCGAGATCGATCTATTTCTGTTGATGACATGATTATGAACAAGTTTCAATCTATAAAGTTAATTTTATATTAATTAGAGTATATTCAGTTGTGGTTGCTCATTATTAGTGTACGATTATTACAGACTAAATAAAAGAAATCTAACATTAGTTAATGATGTAGTGATTATGCTGTAGAAAAATAATCAGAATTTTCCTTAGTTAGCAACAAGGAACTATAATCGCTGGTTATGAGGAATATAACGACTGAAAGTTACTGATGTTTCTCCCATTTCAAAATTATATAGCAATAGTTAATTCTATTTGAGAATGTAATCTCAAGTAAACTATCAGAATTAACAAGAGAATTCGCCTATCAGCACGTAGGATTTATAACCCTATACGATTTGCTTTTATGCTAGATCAGCTTCTTGTTAATATGAAAACGAAACGATTTAGTGAAACTTAAAAAAACCTACAAATTTTAATTCGAGTAAGATCAAAAAGTATTTCGCGACTAAACGATCAACAAAACTATTTATTAAGTACTCATATTTTACACTAAGGAAGGATTCGACTATAGACTCTGAGTTACATAGCCCAACAATCGGGTATTTAGAAAAGATTTTCTTTTAAAATTATTAAAAATTCTAATGGTAGATAAGCTATCAATCAATTAATCGACCATCCCATACAGTTCTGAAGAGTTCCAGATTAGGATTCTCAATAAGGTAGCAAGTCAATGAATTTTTCTATAGTATTAGTCGGTTTCGCAGTTTCAAATTAATATTCTAATAAGACTGCAGTCAGCTATGATTACATAACTCTTACAAGCCATTAATTAATACTTGTTAGACATATGTTTTAGCTAAAAATCGCTTTCTATATCTCGCCTTATTAGGTATCAGACAATTTTATCGATTGCCTTGACAAACTCAAACAATATTGTTTGAAGTAACTATCAATGAAAACTAATTACTTACAAACGGTATAAATGGCTCTGATATGGGCAATTTAATATTATAATCAATCATGACGAGCTAGGAAACAACACAGTTGTCATCATTTATAAGTGCGATATCTAATAGCGATTACCTACCACTTAACTGTTGCTTCGCATTGACTCTCAGATAGGGTTGTTAATAAATGGGTACCGTCGGTAGAGCAATGTGGAATGGATTGGCACATCGTCATAATAGTTTTGTCAATACATCCATTTTTGGCACCATTTAAAGATAATAAGAGTCGTAAATTCTCATTTAATCTTGATGAACTTAGCTTTAAATTTGGTAGCAGCCATTGTGGAATGGTACTATAAGACGGTAGCATAGGTTGATTGCATAGTGATGGATTATCGAAAGATAATGGCGGTTTAATACATTGATTAAAGCTATAAACACTACGATTCTGTTTGCAAATATTAACGTGGGGGAAATTAGTGGCATTTTGACACCATATCGCGGCTTGATTACATTCTTCCTGTATGTCGTTTAAATAAACTGTCGTATAATCCTCGGAACATCTTGGTAGCAATGTTTTGCATTTGATTTTCGTAACAATAGAAGCGCACTTGCTATTGTAGACAATCATATTCCGGCGGGCCATCTGGGCTAAATAATTCTTCACTTGCAGTATATTATGAAATAATACAGTAGTTGGCACCCGATAGTCGATACCACAAGTAGCCAGTACACTAGCATTAGGCCTGGTACAAGAATTAATCTTGCTGTAGAGGTAAACTTTGTCTGCTGATCGAATTTTTACATCGTGTACTACCTATGAAAACATCAAGATAAATTATATACTTTTTAATGATATCGATATCGATTTAAAATAATATCATTTCAATCAAGAGTCATCTGTGGTTAGCATGTAAAATTGAATGGATATTAAGAAATCGGTAAAATCTTCTCATAAATAACGAGAACAACTTATTCAACACTAATATTTTAGGTAGAATCAAGATCCCAATAAGCTTGACGATACAATCTAGATGATTAATAGTCATACCGTAGATGAATAGTAAATATCGATAAGTTATTGCCTTTTAACTTACTAACCTTTGTTGGCTGTCTGACAGGTGTCACTCTATGCACCATGTCTGTATTAGCCGAATTAGACTGTCCGTCATGGATAATGTCACCACCATGAAACATAGCACTAATATGATCACTTAGCCCAAGAACAGTCAGTAATGGAAGCCATAATGAAACACGAATGATCTTCATTTTTTCCCTTTTCAACTCAGTAGTCTTGAGTGTATTTTAATTAAATGATCTTTTCTTATTGGTTACAATAAGTAATCAAGTGACTGTTGGAACCAAATATCACGTAATTTTTATAAGTTATACTTCGATATACGCGTATGATAGTTATGGCTGGATAGGTACTGGCATAAAAAGGCTTTTCAGCTTATCTGATTGGATTTATACTGTAGTGATTAATAACATACCGTAGGAGGTAGCGCCATCTCCTAACAATAATAACGGGTATAGAGATGAGATAAATCCCATTCGTGGCTAATTTACTGAATGTTAATTAATAATATTATTACCCTATTAATGTAGTATAAACAGAATAGTTACGTTAGGGACAGTCTACTTTAATGTCGCTTGTTGATATATTTATCTTCGGTCACATTCCAGACGGTCAATATTAATAACATAGCCGCATTAACATCGACGCGACACGATGATCGCCCCCCTCCTTGCTCACTTGTCTATTTATTTTAAATCAATTTAACAACGCTACTTGAATTTTTATATACTACCGATTATTTCTCAAAACATAAATTGCAGTACTTTCTTGATAATTTCGTGACCAGAGTTTTAACCATCTAATTTATTAAAATATTTAGTTTTGCATAAAGAAAACATTAAAATATTAATCTCATCATCTAAACTACATTGTAATATCAGACAACAGATTTTATGTTGTAGTTGCTGAACGGGCGTGGTAATCAATAAAATATGCGCACAAATTATATCCCGTAATAGTGAAAAGCTGAAGTAGTATTATAAAAATTACAAGGACAGAATCAGACAAAATAAGCAGACATTTTTTGTAAATTATACTTGCATCTATTTTCGTACATGTAAATTATGAGCAGAGTTAAAACTGTTATGTTGGTTAGTTATCTCTTCTTTTAATTTCATTTTACCTTTACTAAAGCAATCAAATTTAAATCGGTTAACTTTTATAGTTAAAAATTGCTCGAAATAGCTATCTTTCATATCTGCATTTCGTTTAATTTAGAGACAACTTCAGATCTTACTAATCAGATCAGTTAGGGACCCCCTGCGCGATAAAAGCATATGGGAATTTCCTTATTATATCTGACAATATCTTGACTATTTCCGAAAATACCATTCTATCGTCTTTCTGGTAAATAATTTTATTTCTAGGGAGATATTTTTGGTTAATTCTACTAATAAAACATTAAACATTTATTTTTAAATGTAGCTCTATGACTTCAAATTTTTTACCTCGAAATACAGTATATCTAAATTTAATTATGAAATAGTACTAATGATTATAAAATCGTATACGTATAGTGTATGACTCAAGATATCTTGTCTTTTGACTATTATTGATCTCAAGTAAATATGCTATATCATGATCAATAAAATAATAAAAAATACAAAAGTACATACTCAAAAATTGATACCATTAATTAGGATTTGAAGTCAATATTACCAATTACAATCATAGAATTATTATTACAAGAGAACTAAAATGACATCATTCTGACGTAAAATAAGTTAAATAGATCTATAACTTATTGCATTAAAGGTTAAAGTTGTTAGTTTATATACAAGTTCTATTTGTCTCGAGCATGGGAAAGAAAATGTATCATTCTTACTTGTAATCACAGCCAGGATCGATATATAATATTTAGATTAAGAAAATAAAACATTAGCAGAGAACCGTCCGATTACGGCGTCGACGGAATTATCACAGCTGGATGCATATGGAGACAGATGAGTCTCTAACAATATCGTAATTGAAATCGATTTACTTGTATTTGCGGCTATTACATAAATTAGAAAGTATGATCTGTAATTAATTGTTACCATTCTTTACTTCTGCAACGTAACATCGTGTTATGATGCGGTAATTGGATATAACTTATTACATGGATAGAGTTACCTCTGCGGGTATAAGCTAAGGACTAGAGTTGACTATGCAGTGATGCAGCAACCAGCTAAGCTTGTTTTATGATAAATAAACATGATTAGATAGAATAATCAACTTATTTATACACGTGATGATATACTAATGCAGAAATATGAAATTTAATACATAGCTAGAGTACTTTCTAAATGAAATGTAGAATATTAGTGACCTATTTTATCATCTATAATAATAGGTATTGGATCCAAGTGTAGTATTAGAATAGAATTGCATAATTTAAATTAATAACTGAAATCGTATTTTCTGTTGTAACGATTTGCATTTTGTTGAAAAATGACAATTTGACTATTGCTGCGAATGCTCATAAACTAACTGCTTTTCCACATAACCTTCGCGATTTATTCATTATCTGCGCATATAAATAAATTTACTAATAATTAACTTATTTCGGCTGAGTATATGTCGAATATGTTACGATTTAATATTTTACCTGTTACCTATTTCAAATATTAATACTACTATTGGTGTTCATGTATTTACAGTGTATTGGCATATCTTTGAAACACATTACGCTGCTTATGGAAGCAATGTAATGGTAATAACAAGATTTTGAAAGAAAGTAGGTTACTCTCATTAACGATATTGTATTTTCTCAGTCAAATTCAGTTGAAATTTCTATACTTTTATTTATGTCTAATAGATGTGCATCATTTTAGTAAAAATTTAAGTAATTTTTTTCCAATTGTGTTCATGTAACAACACAGTAGGATGCTGATACTGTATCAAATGCGATGTCGATTAACTACAGATTTAATTGTACGCAGACTAATTTTATTAAAGGGATAACAGTTAATTGAAGCAATGCTAGTATTTATTCGTATGTGAGGTTAATGTAATTTAATCTGTGTCTTCTTTATTAGCAGAGGATGCTTATAGCATCAGTAAATTATGCAGTACAGTTAAAAACAATCGCTTTAGAGCTTAATCAACCGTTTCCTTTTAGCGTAAAATAAAATGATTAAGTTTAGTTTACCTAATCCGTGTGCACGTATCTTAACAACTTATATGGCATTCGCTTCATTGGATAATTAATTATACATATGTAATATTCATGTATGTACAATTGATGGTTCGATATTTGATGCTTGAATATAGGCAATAAAAATTTTACCAATTCCTTTTGTTTTATTCTTGTTAGTTCGTTAAGTAAAGCGTTCTTAGATTGAAAACTCATATTATTAATTTCCATGAAAGCAAAGCAATTTAATTAATTTGTATGTTACAATTATATCATCAGCACGTATGACTTCGTAAAAAACTATTTCTTTCCAGCGTGAATCTAATACCTTGCGAAATAATATGACTAAATTAATCAATTAATTTTCCAAATTAAAACGTTAATCTCATTTTACGAACTACCTTATCATATATCGGCAATCAAAACTAGAATAGGCATTTATCACAAAACAGTTTTGCAACGAGATAACGTAACATACGATCAATAAGTCAATTCCTTGAACCACGTATTAAGGAACGATATCTGCACTATCAGGAACACGTTCGCTCTACTAGCAGACTACACAAAGACTTAGACGCCTCGTATTTTACGCTAAACATTAAGTTTAAGAATTAACTTTATTACACGATATACTGCATTTATATGCTCTTCCTCAATAGTTCATGAGTCATAGTTAGTACGATTTACTTTGGAATCATTCACTGAATAAGACATTAATTTTACCTACTACTCCCTAATGCAGACAACAGTATTTACGAACATAGACATCTGATGACTAATACAGAATAGTCAGATTACGATATGTCCTATCACGAGACATTTCCACGATAATTTACAATCTACCATAAGTAAGTTATAATTACAATGATTCGAAAGGTAAGTAGATAATTCGCATTCCCTAATATAACTATTAATTTCAGTATATATATATATATATATATATGTCACTGTCATAAAAAGCCATTGCTATATTAAAGCACAGTATATCCAAATTAGAAGTTAACAAAATAAGGATAGGCTAACAAAATTATCATAACATAGATATTTCTACTCTAATACAGTATATAACACTATCACAGCATTCTATACCAGCTACGATTAATTATTGACCGTAAAACGACACTTAAACTAAAATTTAATTATCAATATATACTGGCTTTATTCTAGTTAACATTGTACAACTTGAGAACTTTAATACATTTAAAGCTTTATGTAATTATGTATAAATCGCAGCAGTAAAATAAACTGTAATTATCTCTTCTTGTGTGTGTGCGCATAAAATTAGGGAGAGCTTGCTGAACTATTAATAACCGCTTATTGCTATTATGAAAATTTTTTAATCCACTATATGACTGATAGGGCTATACGTACGAAGATACTCAAACACAATCTATTTGCTATTATCTTCTTCCCTTCTAGTATATGAACTTTTTTAGTGAAAGAGCTGCAATATCTGCGTAGAACGGTTATAGTCTTGAGGCGTATACATTGCATGTCTGTCGTAATCATACACTAACAGAAATTATAAATCGATGGTTTGGTGCATTTAGGATTGGTAATTAATTTATCCGCTAATCGCTAATTATGTATTTAGAACCATTTAAATTTGAAAATAACCTATAATCAATACCAGGAATAGAGAGAAAAATAATGTTTATTTTTACTTATTACAAGTTAGTAATCTTTTACCAGAAGTTCATTAAGAGTTGGGCAATGCCTGTACAATTAAGTTGACTAGTTGATCGCAAAAACCTGTCAATTTGATCTCATAAATGAAGATTTACTTTATTAGTTGTATAAATACACGCATGTCGCGTATGTATATATGCATAAATATATATATATAATATATATAATTTAGCAAGTACTATTACGTTTTAGTAATGTTATCGCGAAAGCTTTAAATCGTGGCTAGGAACTGAATTTGATTATTTAATTATATACTGCATATGGAAAAAGTATACGAAAAGGTACCGTAGCTTAGTGATATAACGATGTGCGTGCATATTGTACTATAATTTACAGTAGCAACATCTTGCTGGTAAGATTGAAGTATAGAAACTTATACCTCACACCTCGAGTTAATTGATACTCGTATAATACAAACAGTATAAGATATCACTGAAATTACTATAATTCGAAAATGAACAATAATTAATTATGTGATCTAAGCCGAAAAACATCGCTGGTACTCAGTTTTCCATGCCGAGGCATCCCACAGATTAGGATTTTTGTCATTCTTGGAAATACTTTCTTCCTTGTTTACACTAAGATAGTTTGCTTGATGTTTTGAATATTTTCGACGCTCGTATGCATTGCGAGCACTTTTATATACCTATAGTTTGTAAGATTTTACATTCTCAGAATGAGAAATGAATCTGCAGTAGATAATACTATCATTGAAAGTTGTAACATTTTATGATATTTTATTTATTACCGCAGCAATTAAATTTTTATATTTATCTCTGAATAATGCGTTATCTATCGTACTAATGATATAAAAGCTGTTCTTTATTTAGTGTGTGCTTGTAATATTGTTATTATATAGTGTAAATGCAGCTCTTAACTGGTAAATCTCTTTATTATAAGGTGCGTATTGCGTAGGCTACGAGATAACTTTGTTTTACTTACCCCATTATCAGCTTGGATATTAAATGTCCTACGAGAGCCACATAAGTCATCTTTCCAGCCGATACCATAAGCTACAAGTGGCCTCTTTTGTAAGAATTTCATGTTAGCTACCTTGGATCCAGCCGAATTTTTCTTTTCCTTTTTAGCACAACTTTTTGTTGATTCTTTAGCAAAAGTTGATTTTTGTAAGCATTTCTGGATGCTTTCCTTAATACTGACAGTTTGAGTTGCCACACTTTTTGTAGGAAGCTCTTTCGACAATTGAGATTTGTTGGGGCTAAGATTGAAATTATTCTCTTTCTTCTTCTTCTTAACTTGCGCATGATTAGTCTTATTGGTATTCTTTTCATTTTTTAGCCCTTGACATTTGACCGATTTTGAAGATTCATTATGTTGTACCTTGTTATCCTTAATAATATTTTCATCTTTAACTGCGGCTACTTGATGTCGAGAAGATGTGGACGCCGAGTCGTTACCATCGCAACTAGCAGTACTGGTACTCTTGCATTCACTCCAGTAATCTTCGTCGTCCCAACAAAATACTAAATGATCATGATTACTTTCATAATTTCGTCTACTACGTCTATATACTAAATTATCAAAGTAAGAATTATGAACTATTTTTTGATTTAATTTACTAAATGAAGTGCGATACTCCGAATTTCTCATTGGTAATAATTATGATATTGGGTAAGATTAATTACTAACAACAATTAATGATTGAATTATCAAGTACTGTACTGTAGTCTACACGGTGTCACCAATTGACTATACTGTCTACCGTAGGTTCGTCTACAGTATGCTGATGTCCTGACTGAATTCTATGCTTTCGTATTTACTTGAAATGGGATAGTTTGTGATTACTCTATCTAACAAGAAAGAATGTGTATTCGTAAGCACTGAACTGATTGAATCATAGACAAGTTAATTTTCAAAAATTTTAAATAGCAGCATAGTAGTTTACAATACAGCATAACCGTTAACTTGTGAATTCTCGGTACAGTGTACAGTGCTAGTACTGTACCGTTGTACAATGTATAGTACTGTACAGTACAGTACAGTACAGTACTGTATAACCGTTAACCTTGCTTTGTGGATTCTCTGTGTACAGTACTGTACTGTACCATGGACTACTAGACAGGCGGATTTTTCTTACTAAATGAGGCGGTCAAAATCGAAAAATGGTTACTTATAGTTAGTATATGGATCTTCCGTGTCTGTTTTCTAAATCACTAGTACTAATTTAAATAATATCTACGATCTTATAGAACTATTTCTAAGCAGAAATTGTAACAGATAATAAGATTCAACATAACATTACTTAATTTCGAAAAAGTCAGTCAATTGAATATCGATCGTCTCCATACTAAAGTACTGTGGTGTACAGTACTATCATAATGAGGTGTTTGGCACACTATTTTGACGACATGAGGCCAAAAGCGTCTGTCTGTCCAAGAATGATCAGTCCACATCTTCTTCTACCATCTACAGTACAGTATAGTATTGTACAAGGTAGTACTGTACTGTACTGGCAAAAGTTGGATACAATTAACCCTAACCCTACAGTACTGTATACAGTGTATAGTACTGTACAGTACAGTCACTTTGTTACGCTGAATAGCCACTTCCAGTCCCGCTTTCCCTCCAATAACGTACGGTACATACAGTACAGTAATTTTAATTGATTAAGACTGTTATGTTGTCACTGTACTGTACAGTATACTGTCATTGAATCGATTCGTATTACAGTATTCTAATTGACTGTAGTAGTAGAACTGCAAATATTTCAACGGCCATCATGGATAAAATCAAACTTGCTAATGATCATAAGGATACCGGCAATGATGCTTTTAAGAACGGCGATTTCATTAGCGCAATTCGATCTTACCACCATGCTCTACTCTGTGTTAAAGGCATCTTATCCAAGTCTACCATGAAAGAGCTAGGAATGTTAGTCGGTGATAACGCTGCGCAACATAGAGCCAATTCCAAGGAAGAACAGATCAAAGAGGAAGCTCAATCGATCAAATTAAGTCTTCATAACAACTTAGCAGGTTGATGATATTAATGTATGGTATATTTCGCCATTGTATAATGCAGTTGACTGTAAAAATATATGAGAATATGATCAGCCAGTTAAATTGAAATGTAGTAAAATTCAGTTTCACATGCATTTAAGTAATTGATCAATGTACATAGAGTAGGATACGGAGTAGCACTGGAAAGTCAAGGCATAAATTACAGTACTAGATTATCACTGTTGTTTAGGGATTGTCAGCAATGTTTGTCCATTATGAACAGTGAATTATTCAAGGTAAATAGACTAATCTAGAACTAAGCTTCAAAACGACATGTTCCTTGTACTGTACTGTACTGTATACTGTTACTGCAGAAATAATACTACTGCACCAGTAGAATCTACCATACTACAGTATGTTATTGAATAAATCTTGGATTGCGTACAGTATATAACTTTGCAGCAAGGTGCAATTTTTTGGTGTAAACTTATCGCCAGTATATCTTTCAAATGGTGACTGTAAAGTTATTTAACTACTACATACTTATATAAGTGACAGCTAAAAACACTGGTATTCTAGAGTATTCATTCCTACGTAGGAACTCTCACTATTAGTGGGAATAAATTAATAAATTAAGATAGCATGTACAATGATTATATTTGATCTCCCGACATAATATTGCTATATAAAGCATTATCTGTGCTGAAGATTGATTTGAATTTTCGATCAGTATTATAGAAAATTTTTACCTATTTTATTTCCTTTTATAGTTTGTCTAATTAAGCAAAATAAATGGGAGAGAGCTATTTCTCATTGCGACGAGGTTTGCAGTAATTACAAATATTAACTTAATCTGGATGAGAATGCCAACTGATTATAAATCTCATAAGTACAGTAGAATCTATTACAATATTGAATTACTAATAAGTAAAATGGTTATTGCAAATGTTTGATCTTAAATGATTACTGTGTACAATTTAATTTACATGGTATGTCAATGTTGGTTATAGTAGGCTCATTCCATATTTTAGGCGTTGATGCTGGAATCGAATAATTGTAAAGCGATATATAGGAGAGGTCTGGCATATTTAGAAATAGGAAATATAGACAAAGCCGGAAAAGACTTACGAAAAGCATCTGCGCTGCAACCGCATGGTAATTTGCTGAATTTTTAAATTGATCATACACGATTCCCGTTGCATAAATTTCACGTAGCTAGTCTTACTATTGAGCAAAATAAGTACATTTACTTGTATCATACAGAATACCGTATACTTTCTTACCAGACGTCGTAAAAAGATTCGTGTAATATGTATACGTATCTCTAGATCATAATATACAGAAAGCTTTATCAAGGCTAGGGAACAAGGAAAAAGTGGGCGAACAGGTTGAAAGACGGATGTATGCAGCTATGTTTGGTAACAAAACATAATGTACTCGATACGCTCGAGTGCGGTAATTAATATACTTATGAAATAGTCGGTATTGTAGTTCCTGTTTTAATCAAATTTAAAACGCTACATTAGTATGTTTAGAATCCGTTGTAAAGGTTGACAGTGATAAATGGTAAATATGCAATTTTATACTAAACATTGTATCATAAATTCACGATTATAAATATAAACGGGTTTTATGTTCACATACTGTGCTGCACCATAGTTCAATTCCTGTATTATTTTTTTAATTCGATAACCCACATTAGATCGTAACGTCCGGTTTTATAATTTTGATATTCGTACTACAAGGTTCGTTTTTAATGCTTTTTAAATATGCACTTAAAGTAAGGTATCAGCGTAAAAGCGATTACTTGATGTCTTGTTCATTGTGTATAATAAGACTATTATATTATGCAATACGTTTATGTGTAAGAAGTGTATACTAAACAGTAAGATCTCACCATTAATAACGTTGTACGTACATATCATTTTAACTATTATTGCGATTGCTATATTGTAGTAGACCTCCTTTTGTAATTTACATGATATAATAATTATAATTAATCGTAACTGAGAAAGGCAATTATTTATAACATATAACAGCCACTGTCTACAAAAATTTGTGACTGATCCTTATTCATAAATTAAGATTTCAATTAAATCTACAACTTTATTACAGTTCTATAATATCATATGTTCATATATTGCATCCTTTATATTGCACTACTGCGATTCTCACCATTAATTCGTATTTAGGTACTAGTTAGTTTTACGATTTACCGTACTAAAAATTACTATTAATGGTTTTATGACATATAAATTTCTTATTTAATAAAGATGACATATCTAACTATCATCGTATTTCTAATAGTACATACAAACACACAATAAATTATTTTACGTCCGTAAGATATTATGATAGTACATTGTAATTATTAGTATAGTATACCGTAATTATTACGGCAGTATAAAATGCTATTATATTATAATATAGTTCGCAGTATTAGCCTATCATAAATTTCGATGTTTTTTTTATCCTTTGTGTAATCGAGGTGATACTGAGGTAGGTTTTTTCCGTTAAACTATAGAAGAATCGATTTGCAAAAATAGGCTATAAGTTTAAATTTTTAGCAAAGTTACTTCAAAACATGGCGATACAGCAAATAGAGATGTTCAGAGCTTTACACCTAAAAACAAACACATAAAAACTCCTCGATTATATAAGCTATAGAACTAGCAAAATTTAAGCAGTTATAATAACTGTTATATACTCGTATGTATAAAGCATATCAAATTATTTTGGATAACATTCAACGTGAAAGAATTTATATCTATCATCTGTAGTACTAGACATGAAATTTCTATAAGAACAAAGACGGTAGCAATACCGAACCATCGGTATATTAAAAGTAGAATCTTGTACACAGCCAGTATAGCAAAAATAAGCATGATATATTCTCGTAGCTCGATGTACGGATGATAATACGTTTACACTTAATGAGCGTGTCACCAGGGCAAGACTACTGATAATGACAGGAGCGAATATAATTCTTTCGTATTTCATATTTATACTGTACTTATAATATCGTTTTGGTTATGAAACTGACGATAATTAGTAAAGTTATTGAAGCTAAAGGTACAGTAAGTCTTTCAATTCCAACGCAGATATAAGGGTATCATCAGTCTATCGATACTGGATGCTGCTATATTTCATCAGATTTAAGTAATCATATATTATCTCCGGTGTAAATACAGAGAAATAAGCAATAATATTCTGACATAAATTTAAGGAGTTAAAATTTCTAGCGTTTCCGTGATTAGTGAACAATATATTATTGCTATTGATTTTTTTTCGTTTGAATGTTCTTTGTTAAAGCCTCTGTACTTTTCTGGGCCAAAAATGTCATAACACTTTCAAGAGCCTAAAGTAGAAGTGCAGTCAATGAAGGATAATTAATTAATAATAATTCTAGGGCCTTAAGTAACAATGAATAACTATTCGCATATAGGTTATGGTAGTTTATAATACCTAAACATATTATAACTGTGACCTTTTACGATTAAAGTTATAATTAATAGTCCTTGTATAGAGTCTACTAGGTAAAATGTTTACCATTTTCTTACATTTACAGTATACCATATTCCAAAAAAATGTAATAACTTATGTATACTAAAATATTAAAATGAACTCACTTGTTCCCAAATAGCATTAGCAACGTCATCAATTTTTCCACCAACTGCGGTATATTTACCAGTATATCTTATGTAAGACCATAAACTGATAGCGAAAAAGACTAAGGTTGTGCATAAATCAACTAAGTTCGATAGCATCCTTAACGCGGCAAATTCCAGTATTCCGGATAATAGGTATAGAACTACCATCATCACCGCTAACGTTATCGGTGTGCGAAAGATGTTCAGAACATTTTTACTTTCATTTTCTACTTCATATCTTTCGAAAGCCTCATCAATTTCTTTGGTTAATTTTTCTAAATACTTTTGACTATAAGCATCTCCACCCATCTTTCGTACGGTTTTAAATTGCTTTATAGATTCCACTTTAATATCTTCATGCTTACTTTTAAGTATTTCTAACTTCATAAAAGGAGAGCTTGGGCCGCAAATCTAGAAGTGATTAACCTCTTAAATTAATAAATAGCTGTAAGCTACTTAGGGACATAGTAAATATTATCCATACCTTATCCATTTCTTTCGAATAGTATTCTTTGGCTTTACCATAGGCAGTTACATTACTAGCCTCTGCGGTTGCCTAATTTTGGTAAGTGTTATATTTAAAACAGAATTACAAAAGGGTAAAATGTATGCTACTGATAACGACAACACCATTTATTGATGCAAGAGTTCAAAAAAGATAATATTGCTGTATCAATAAACCTGGAACATGGATTTGGGATCAGGGAGGCCATCGCCCTGATAAATTTCCATATATGCCTATAGAAAAAATTCGAAAGAAATATCAGAATTAGCCATTTAGGTACCCTCGCAAGTAAATTACGAAGACATTACACGAATATAATAGTAAAAGCAACAATAGCCATCAACTTCAAATGGTGCTGACAGCTTTATCGATTTTATTCACGTATATGTGATAAGGGATATGATAAGTATGTATAAGACAAGAGAAACATAGTTTAAATTTTATTTTTTCTTGTATGTACTAGATAAGCAGTTCTAGGTGTCACAGCAGAACATCAAAGACTTTTCAATAGGTAAAGCTTACTTAGAAAGATTCAATTTTATTGCACATCAATTTACCTTAAAGTAGTTTAGAAGATCTTTACATGTAAGTTTACATCCGCTGATCTTCTTAACGATCAAGTTTTCAGGAGCAAGAATTGAACCCACTAGTGATTTTACACAATCTCGGAACTCAGGCTGGATATCTAACAATTATTTTTTGGAATAATTTGATAATCAAATGAGCTACATTTGATATCGTCATGAAAATTTACCATTCTATTAAGAAGATACCGTATTAAATTACCTGATAAACGACCCTTAAAATTTGGATTTGTTGAGACAACAAATCCAGGATGAGGCATTAAGAAGCAATTCAGTTGTTCATAGCACGAGTGAATATGCTGCCGAAGCTGTCGTAATTCTTCATGTTGCTCAGGTGATATCTAAAGTGCAAGGATGTATAATATGGAGTTTAACTACGAGCTACGAAAATGATTAAAAGATAAGTAATTGTAATAATGGTAGTTTGAAATATTTATATGATATGAGTGACTTCATGATTAGGGACTTCAATAGTTTACCTCTAATCTTTCCTTTAATAAATCTGCACCACCTTTTTCGCCATATGGATACTCGTAAGGGTAACTCCAGTCCCTTACCAGAAATTGCAAGACCTTAACGTTTCAGGAGCAACGCAATATAAATTACAGAGTAATCTAATTGAAGCTGATGTATGCATAGATTTAGGGTAATTTTGTTTATAGATATTACCTGAAATGGTTTACAGTTATTATCTTCTAAAGCTACACGTCCGTACTCCGTAAATATCTGTTAGATCAAATGATAACGTAAATAATACGACTATTATGTTTTTGAAGCACAGCTTAGATTTAAGAGTAACTCCCCATTTTGTAGTTAAATTCACTATTAATTTAAATCAATAAATTTATTTTAACCTGTAAGTGTTGTAGATGGTCTTCCTGGATATTTTGTGAAATGTTATAGATCTATGTGATAAGTTAAAAAATTTGATAAAATCACTAAGTTTGGCGTTAAATTACTTAAATGTTATCTTACGAATAACATTCTCTCAGTAAATAGAATGATCAATTACCTGGACCGAACTTATCATCGTGCTTAGGGCAAAAATAACTGCACAATCCTTAATCGTAGATTGTTTATCAAATGCACCCTGTGTATCCATTATCAATACAACAACCTAATAGTAGTATAAAATATACGAAAATTTTCGCCGTTGTAAATAAGATAAAAAAGGGAAAATGAAATTTACACAAAAATAGTAGGCTACATTCCAGAAATTACGAGAGCAATCATAATTATGATTCATTAATAAAGATATAATGTAATGAGGCCGTACATCGTAATTATTCAGTAATCGTTAAAAATAATATACCCGTAGATATAACAATGAATGGATATACTCTTCGTATGTACATATTTGTAGTTTGAATGCTCACACAACTACTGTATTCATTTCAAGAGAGCTTATTAAAAATTCGCATACACAATTGATGAAATTTGCACCTCCTTGGTGACATTTTTCATAGTAACGTAGAAAAACATACTTCTTCTCCGTCGGGTAATTCGCACAGAAATGGTTTATCCCATAATAATATACCAGTAGTTTCACGTTGAGAACCACCTCGCCAAGGAAAGCCAGTAAGAACCTCATCGTCCTTACCTAGCCAGTCGTCAGTCGTTTTATCATTCTGTTTGATATTAATAAATAGAATACGTTTAATACGCCATAATTGTTAGTAAGGTTGCTACAATTCAATTAGAAGTCACAATGATTAATATTGTTGTTTTTTGATTTCGTAATATTGTATTTTCAGATCAGAACTATAAAATTTTATTGGTGTGTATCTATTTAAAATTAACAGAGAGAATGATATTTCAAAACAACTTCAATAGTAGTTATAGCACTATGCAAAATTATTGCAGGACGTTAAAAACTCGAAGTAAACAATTGATTACTGATCAATACACTGAATGACTCATTTACATGTAGTATTTTAATACTCGGCTTAAAGTATGCAACCTAATGCACAAGGATTTAATTTGACTATCAGCATCATTTTGACCATTTAGAGTTACTTGAAGAATACTCTGTTTCAACGCTTTAGGTAGGCAGTGAATGATCAATTGATATTCCTCGTAATATATTTGCTAGCAAAATTAGGCTAACTATATATTGGCAATTACTAAGTAATACATGACGATTAGCTTACATTTCTTTCTAAGTATCTGAGGAAGAAATCCAGTAAAAACGATTTGCCTTTCCGATAGGCTCCTGCAACGGATATCACAACTACTTTCTTATTTTGAATGTCGCTTTGGAGTAGTATATTTTCAAGAGCAGTCTCATTTAAGCGAAAACTGTGTTCGGATTCACTTATGACAATTTGTACCGGCTTGCCATGATGACCGTTATCTTCAGCATCATGATTTTTCTCATGACCATTGCCATTAATTTGCACTGTTTTACCAGCCTGGTCTATAGAGTATAAAAACTAAACTTTAGTGTCACAAAAACAAGTTAGCACCGATAAATAAAATCTATCTAGTAAATGATCTCATGAGTTGGTAACGATGATATCATGATGGTTGTAGGATACATTTACAAATTTCCGAGAAAATCCTTCTCGAATGTATGCATACTGCATTTATTTATAAGCAGAAAGAATGTTATGCAGTTTTCTAATCATTAGATGCTATAGATTGATCGCAATATTTATGATCGAAAGGGAGAAAATTTATTATTGCACGTCTTAGATAACTGTAGCGTCTTCAATTTCATATTTTTATTTTTATTAGGTTGATATCTACACTGTACGATAGATTTAGTGAATTCGTCGAACAGAAAGTAATTTGATGAGTTAAAATTAAATATATTGTACACATAACAGGCACGAAATGAGACGGTTAGAATAATTTATATATAAATTATTACGTATAGTGTTACTCATTCTTTAGGATCAATAATTTTCCAATAAAACTTTAGATTTAATTTTATTGTTATTTATTCTTACTTTACTGTAATTTTTATAGGTTATTACTTAAGGTAGATAAATAACATTCCGATTCCTTGACTACAATTAAATCGTTAAGCACGATGCTCTTTCGTATCCTTGAGGACCATTAACAAAACTTTCATTGGATAACATAAATTTTTACACAATACCGTAGTATAATACGTAATTTATCCTGATATTAACAAAGTATTGAATTATTTCTCAAATTACGAGAAAGCAATTAAATATCGATTAAAATATAGGGAATATTTGTAAAGTCAAGTGTCTGACGTGTACTGATGCTATGCAATAGATATTTATGTGGTAAAACATAGGATTTATTACTAGTTATCCTGTAGTTAGGAAACTGATAAATCTGCAGCTTAACAAATCGTTATTTTCAATCACTATCCTTATCAATGACGCATCACGGGAGTTGACAGAAGGTGCTGTTATTTAGGCTTTTTAAGTATCTACTGTATTTAAAATCCGACACATATAACACTTTCTTAAGCAGGCGTATTCAGTATGAGTAAAAGGCGCTGGATCTTCATTATTAGCGATGTCGAGTCAGGTTTAATTATCATATCTCAAATAAATATTGTGCAATTACATAGATCCATGGGAGACTACTGCTGGAATTCTTTTCTTGTATTGTTTAAATGTATCAATCGCTGTTACACAGACCTTAGAGTATAATAGTAAGCAATTTACGTAAGCCAAAGGTTCTAATAGTATCAACGGGTGATATATTATATTTAATAAAATGATGATGGTTCATGTCGTATTAGAAACGAGTCCTATACAGTACTATGCATTGAACAGGGTACGTCAATTTCTGTAGCACTTTACGGATTTTCAGTTCCTACCAACTTGACTAGAACCGTATTGTCATTTCAAATTAAAGATTAGTGGTTGCAAAGCGCTTCGATATACTGTACAATACAGTACAGTAGAACTCAAACTTTGTATACAGTCTACGGTAAAGCATTCAAAATCAGATATTGATGTAGTGGTACGACTCAAAACAAATGCGCTATAAAACTACTACCAGTCAAAATTTGCAAATGTTCAATTGTTACATCATTTTTAGTTCTCGTGTATAGAATGAGTATCATGATATTATCATAATCTGATACGTGAATCAATAAATAATGATGAAAAAAAAAGAATACTCAGTACTTGTAATTACTCAAATAATACTGTATGTTCTACAATATATGTTAGGACAATCTGTAATGATTTGCGTCAACCGATTAATGTTAATAATAACGGTCTATAACAGAAAATATGGCAATAAAGTACAGTATCATTCAACCAATAAGCACACCATGCTGCTGAATCTGCTAAATCTTTATTAACACTAATTATAATCAGACGTTATACACGTACAGTACCGCAGATACCTACTGTGCAGTATTTGATGTGAAGATTATTAGAGACAACTAACGGTCGGAGTAGATGATGAAAGAAATTCAATTGCAACTGTGAAATTTGCACGTAAGAAGTTCCTGGTAATTAATTGAAGGAGTAACAGCGAACATAATAAGTGAGTGTACTCTCGTTTACCATTTTAAAATAATATCAACATTAAAGAAGGAGTTCTCAGATGTTAGACTACGTATTCTCTCGAAAATCTCCATACGATGCACAATTGCACGCAAGGGTGCATTTTTAGAGTTATTAACCACTACTATGCATGTACTTTTAGGGGTGTAACGATGAGCAATACAGTATTGCGATACCGTTTGTTCTAGTTAGAGTACTGAAACTTTGGTTCTCACTATTGCATTCATAAAATGTGAAAGTCGAAAATATCATCAAACATTACAATAATAGCTGTTTCGCCGGAACCAAAAAAATAAAAATCCAGATATACGCCGGTAATGCACAAGTAATACTGTATTTGCTTCATCTTTTTCAGAAGAATACGAGAATCATTGTAACATGGAAGTAAGTTGCTATTTTTGTGTCATTTATACAGTATTTGATTAATAGTATAATTTATATGTTAGATATAATCGTGGTTTCTTTAAATCTGATGGGCAAATACAGGATTATTGTGTTAGCCGTAAATACTTAATTTAGGGGACTGTTACCGTAATTCATTCTTTTTAATTTACTTAAAAAGGGTAAGTGCGGTCCATAAAAAAGGAATTCAACTTGTGTGATTTTTAAATACAGTATTATACATATAACATACAGTACTATGAATATGTATTTAATGAAAGGATTAAGCATCAAAATACTGTATTGTATATATATGCATAGATCTCTGATAACAATCTACGGTTATTATAGAACTACTATCGTAGAGAGATTAATCGAAGCAAAAGTCGATTTTCTGCACCATAAATAGTATTTATATCTTTGTTTTACGTTAAAGTAATATATTCTCTACGTCAGTATTACTTCATCGTCATGATATGCAATTATACAGTATATAGCAAGGTAAATCAGTAAAAATCGAAGCTCGCAATTAAGGAAAGTATACTTCGCGTACATGAATAATTTATTAATAGAGAAAGATCAGATTTAGAAATGGATTACTCATATTCCATCCTTATTGCAGTATGCAACACGTTAACATTCACTGATGATATTTAAAACGACTTGCAATATCCAAATAGCAAAATTAAATCTTCAATCAAATAACGAAACTTTTACAAATAATGGTCTATACTAGTATATTCAGTCTTACCGTTATTCTCCTTCGATTCGAGGCTTTCGTTAACCATATTGTGAGACTACTGAGACAAACTGTTAAGTCTATACGTTGAAGAGCAGTGGTTGCCAAGTGTAGGAAGTTGAAAAGGAAAGTCGATAGCTACAAGTAGCGATTTTTCCGTTGTAATGACTATAGTGTCGTCGATCGGATTGGACTGATCGATTGAAAGATCAAGGATAAAATAGTTTTAAGACACATTAACTAATAGGCAGTGTATAAATCAAGAAGGAAAATGGGGTAGTCAATTTGATATAATATTCATCTTCACATTTGTGATGTTAGTGTGATCGCAATAGAACATGTAGAACTACGGACAGTAACTAGAGTAGTTCTACGTGCAGCATTCTTTTATTCCATATTACAAGACTATGATCAACCTAAATGTAGACTGTATAATGTACATTACATAATCCAGTACTAAACACCGTTATCTTTTTCAGGATGAACGACTACTATAATCTAAAAGCAAGCGTAACCCAAAGATGACGAATTTATTCTCATCAGAGACTGCCAGTAAAATAATAGTAGACCTAGTCGATGTCCTGTACAGTGAAATCTATCATACGACTAACTTAAGCAATATTTATAGGTTAGAAAATTCTCCAAGTCTAGTACACGATTTGTAACATGCTGCACAGTGGACGTTGATGCAGTATAACGTTTCAAATTCTATACGTGACACAGTCAATTTAGTCAACTACCTTGTTTGGCTAGTGCGTTTTCTAATATCAAAAACGAGGTTACCTACCGGGTGGTGGATGTTACGATCAATCCAATCAATCAATCGATGATTGTTGATAGGAGCAAGGATGGATGAAGTAATTAAAGTTGGATAAATGAAATATGGTGATGCTATGACGAATTTTACTACACCGAAAACGATTGATGAAGCAGTAACTACTTACTGTTTACACTTTACGATTAAAAGTGGGTGTCCGATTTTATCATCGTCTGCTTCAGATTTTATTTATTCACTGATTCTATATCTACAGTACAGTACAGAATCCAACTGGCGGATCACTGTAGCACAGGGTGAGTGGCTGATTGAAACTTGAACTTGACGATAACGAAATGTAAATAACAGTAAAATACTATACTGGGCAGATACTGTAATGCATTTGTACAGACAGTGCCTTAAGTGACAGCATGGCTGGTGCTACAGTAGTCCTGTACTGAACAGTACATACAGTACTGCCCATTCAGAAACTAAAATTGGGGAAAAATGACGTTAGCGAGGTAAATTTAAACTGAATTTGCCATGCGAGACAGTACAGTGCAGTATGATACTGTAGAAGTGCATAATGTACTGTACTGTATATAGATTCAGTATCATATTTAGTACAGTACATACTAAACCTCTTGTACGGTGACCGTAAAAATACTAAACATACGATCATCCATAATGCGATGCGTCATTAGTCATTCGCTTATGCTTCAGGCCACGTCATACTCATTAGGGACCGGTGTGACGTACAATACTGCACAGAACAAATGTACTGTACGGTTCAGTACAGAACCTGTGGTCTTCTGTACTGTACACTGTACAGAAGACCATATCAGTACGAGTACAGTAAAGTATAGCGAAGGTTGTTTGAATCATTGGTTACCCCCTCTCTCAACTGAGATATTATTAACCATAAAGAATATACTCGTATGATCTACTGTACAGTGTACAGTATAGTTGTCATACTGTACAGTACTGTACTGTACTATATTTACGATGTGTATTTGCGACTGTACCGTACAGTACTGTACAGTACACTAGACCTGTGTACGGTACAGTAGAGGCCCGCCTAGAGGTACAGTACAGTACAGTATCTAAAAGTACATCTACACTGCAAGGACTTTTGTTCTTCGTTCCTTATTTTAAATTACTGTATTTAGTGACTCAATTTGCATGATGGCGAGCGAAAGATATTTCGATGTTGTTGCTGTCGGATCTTGCAACACCGATTTAATCAGGTAATTCGACATACTGCATTGTACAAGGTGCCGTACTTGTTCTAACCAAAGATTCTAAAATAAAGAAATAACTTACATACAGTAGGCAGCAAAATTCTGCTCTGTCTAGCAAAAGAAAATGAAGCTGCTTATTCGCTTTATTGATAATAATATACTATAATTTAGTTGAAGCTTTCAGTATGCGTTAAATCCAGTAGGTTACAGACTCTCATGCAAAATTGAGAGCCATACATACACATGCAGTACATACAGATCACACTCATTGTGTGCTAATAATTGTATGATTGACCAGAACCTTTGATTTAAATGTCAAATTTTAAAGTTTAATCTGAACCTTGTTACTTATAAGCATACGTACTGCATGTGTTGCAGCTATGTCTCAAGAATGCCAAAACCCGGTGAGACAATCGAGGGCCACAAATTTGAAGTTGGATTTGGTGGTAAAGGAGCCAATCAGTGTATCATGGCAGCAAAACTAGGAGCGACTACAGCTATGATTGCAAGGGTAAATTACTAAACTTGATAGCTCATTTACCACACGCTACGATAGAGTAATATACCTTTCAGCATATACATGTATGGTGATTTCATTATATCGGTATCGGATTTTCTTTTATTTTACAACAGCACTCGTTCACCCAATAGCAGTACAATATTAACCATAAATTAATTTCTTACGACTCTAATAATAACTAGTATACTACAGACAATATCATTAAATAACAAATTAGTCACAGTATAAACGTGTATATCTCAAGAATTCTTTATTTTGACCTCTATGTATTTACATCTTAATTAACGTTCATTTGTTAGTTATAAGAATATTAATGTTACCAATATCAACAGGTGGGTGATGATACCTTTGGAAGTTCTACCATAGAGAACTTTAAAGAGAATGGAGTGGATATATGTAAGAAAATGAAAATGTTTATCAAAGTATACTCCCGTACAGTATTATTGTAGCTAATTATTTATGTAAGCACATTATAGCGAAAACTGCTAGAAGTACTGCATTTTACGAGTATACTACATTTTAAATGCATATTTATCTGTAAGTTATTATAGAGAATGAATAAACAGTTTATCCATTCTTCACTTAATTATACATTATAATTATAGATACAAATCAACTATACATGCACATGTCTTATTACTGTTACTCGAACAACTTTCGCATTGAGTTCATTTGTCATCTCCTTAACTTTTTCATATAATATGAATTAAGTGTTTTATCGCATCTGCTTTAATTTAATTATAATTATAGCAAAAGTGATGGTTACTAGTAATATATCAACCGGAGTAGCACCAATAATCGTGAATGATGAAGGTACAGTCATTGTCCATGGGTAGATATTGTGTTAAAACAGCTCAAAACAAGTATATATCTTTGCAAACCGTTTTGTTTAAAGTATTTCGTGCTTATACTATACTGTGTCTCAAAGAGTTAAATACTGGCATTTTGGAACCTAATTAGGAGAAAATAGTATTGTGATAGTATCTGGAGCTAATAAGTTGCTATCCATCGATGATGTGAAAGCGGCGGGTAATATGATGTCTAATGCTAAAGTTGTTGCCTGCCAGTTGGAAATACCACTGGAATCGGTCTATGCTGCTCTCAAGACAGCTAAAGAGTTTGGTGGTTGGTTTATTTATGTTGTACAATTTTTTAGGTATTTTTGATGTAATCCTAAACTAAAGATGTAATTTGTTTAAATGGAAAACTTCAACTTAGCAAAAACAATCTTGAATACTGCTCCTGCAAATAAGGATCTCGATGTCTCTATTTTCAAATTTGTAGATATATTGTGTTTAAACGAAACCGAGGTAGCGTAGCTTTATTTAATAAATCGAATTACAAAATATCAACCATCGTGATTTAAGATTAAGATTTCGTGATACGCCTGTTCGCATCAATTGATAAACTGTTAAACTATTGAGATTCTTTTCATGATTACAATAGACCGAGATTATGACTGGTTTGGCTGTAAGTAACGTTGATGAGGCTAAGAAATCTGCTTGCATATTAGCTGAAAAAGGTCCTGAATACGTTTTGATAACCCTCGGTAAGCAAGGCGCCGTGATTGCAGGCAAAGATGGTAAACCTCCAGTACATGTAGAAGGTGTCAGCGTGAAGGCAGTTGACACAACAGTTGAGTATATCGACGAATTTGAGATACGCAGGCATTAGCGTATCTAATAACTGTAGTATTTATAAGTAAACGTTTATGCGGCTTTCATTTAATATGATTTATGTAAATAATGCAATGAAATAGGGTGCTGGGGATGCGTTTGTTGGGTCTATTGCATACTTTATGGCAAAGCATCCGCAGTTGTTATTTGCCGAAATAGTGAAGCGTTCCTGTCATGTGGCAGCCGTTAGCGTTTGCAGAAAGGGAACACAAAAGAGCTATCCATCTGCAGAAGATTTACCTAAAGATTTATTTCAGTAACTGCGAATTATAACATCGACATCGAAATGACTAAAGTGATCTCGTGTTACTGCAGTACAAAAGCAACAGTAGAACTTATTTCTTGATCTATTAATAGTAAAGTTACTGCTGTGGATGTTCAATGGTATCGATTCTGACTGATCATAATAGAAGAGTCGCGTTATGATATAGCCTTTTCCTATGTTAAAACGAACATATACAAAAGTACGTATATGAAACATTGCGCTTTCACAGTATATTATCATACTCAGAATGTATAAATTACAGCTAATTTATATCGCTTTGTTTAATTTACATCTGTTGTCTTAACAAGATCAAGCGATTTTTGCTGATTTAACTCATAAAATTTAGATATATTTTAAATACGGATCTTTATTAATTGTGCAAATTCAATTTAACGAAGATATTAATTTGGTCATTTGACAATTCTTCGAAAAATCGTAATACAAAATGCTGTTTGCTAATATACAATCTTGGCGATAACTATATCACATGAAACTGAGTGATACTGGCAGCTTTAATTGCTCACCTAATATGCCTTAGTGACAGGCAATACAATACAAGCTATTAGAGTAAGAAGAAATATGAGGTATTTCCTCTCTTTGCTGGTAAGGACAGCTAATTTTGTGCTATATACGGCACGTAAGGCATTTGCTCAATTATATCAAGTATCCCATATTATTTCTTCTTAGTTTCTACAAAGAGGACATGCTGCTTAACTACAGAAATAAACAAATTTTAAATAGAGCATAAGAAGGGAATATTGTTAGGCATAACATATAGTTATGAACTTATGGTAGACATCGATTCTAAAAATTCGTCACTAAACCCCTTAGAATAAACTAGTGTAAATAAATATTAACTATATTATTGTTTAATAGAAGGCTACCACTAAACATCACAAAAGATAAATGCTGATGCTAGGGTGTAACTCAATAACATTGACTAATTATATAATTATGCGATCTTTCTCACCTATCGGATCGTATTTACGAAGTATCATCTTATCTCTTGTCCTTGGCCTCCTCATTGTATAAAAGAATCCAGTACCAGCAGCACTCATTAATCTGACAATTATAGTTCTATAGAAAAGTGAGAGAAAGGTTTACTTTCTCAATTCGTATTGAAAAATTTAATTAATTATCTATAAAATGATTTAATGCACATAAATACCACGGTTTGATTAATTATATTATATAATTGCGAATACTACGGTACAAATGCAAATACAAGTGTATTAAAGGCGTAAAATAACTGCTACATTAAACCGTTGCATATGCCTTAGATTTTTTGGTAATAATTATAAGTAGAGAAAACCTAATTATGACTAATAATAACATAGTCTTAAATCAAGGATGAATTTTCCAAGATTTCACTATTAATGCAATCATTTCGTTAAATCTTCACATTCATTGATAATAAGTGTTAGAATTGGCGTATGTTATTACTGTACGTGTGCACAAATAATTACAAGGACATCCCCGGTATTTGATACTGTAATTGACGTTTTTTGCAGTATATAAGACTTGTTGACAGAGCAATAACCGGTAACCAGGTAAAACAGATTATAGCTAGATAAATACTTGCTGTAACTTCGTAGATCGTTTATTGCAATACCACATTACGCGTAGTTCATTATGCACAACTGTATCTCATGGTACAGCAGCTTGCATACGTTACACAGTACTGTACGGTATGCTCAGGTATGACGAATATAGTACAGGAAAATTATCAAGTCATCTCTAGGTCTAAATGAGAGATAAAAAACAATCTTACCTTGCTTTTCCTTTGCCCACTGGTTGTGGCACAGGTTAATGATATAAAGTAAAGAAAATACCAATAGTAGAGAGAACAAGTTAACCGATAGGTAGTACCGTACGCTGTTGAAGTTGTCAAAATTTTGACTTACTTTTCAAGTTACTGTAGGGCAGTTAAAGAGATATATCAATGTTTAGTAGACTTGGTGTTTACTGCCACCGTCTGTACATCGAAAAGTGAAGGTTGTTCTCCTGCAATCCTGGTATTTCTCTCAAATTCAAAGAAAATTAAAATAATAATTTCCCTAATTTAATAATTTTAATTGAAGTAAGCACCATTCGAATTCGAATGACACCAGCTTGCTGCATGGGTTTTCAGCTCCAGTACGGTACAGTACTGTAGTACTGTACAGTATTCATGTACAGTACTGTACTGTAGAATACAAACACGCTGCACAGTACTGTACTGTACTGTACTGTACAGTACAGTATTATTAACTTTACTTTACTGTACAGTACAGTACAGTACAGTACTGTAAGACTACTGTTGAATAATCACGGGGCTGTCAAGGACAATACACTATTCAGTACTGTACAGTAGTCGTCTTCTGACCGAACCTTTCTCAGGTCTAAAACCAGCGGTGGACTCTCTTCGAGTATACTGTACTGTACAGTGTACACTGTACAGCCTAGGACCGGGGACTTGCCGAACCCTAACTGTACAGTGTACAGTACACTGTACAGTACTGTACTGTATATGTCATATACTGTACACTGTACAAAAATAGTATGGCCCATAAAAATGGACCTGGTGCATTATGTTTTCGGTACGCCTGCTATGATCATTGATCATGCCTTTGTCTACAGCATTGTACAGTACAGTACTGTACGTACAGCTGTACTGTACGCTGTCTACGTGTCTACAGTACGATACTGTACAGTGTACAGTGCAATACTGAAATCTACGTACTGTACGGCGTTCATTAAAAATTCAGCAATGAACTCGAACACAGTACTGTACCGTACAGTACTACTGTACACTGTACAGTATAGGAAGTGTACAGTAGGTTGCCGTTCATCTACAATATTGTACTGTACTGTACGTAGTACCGTTTCGTAGTCCCTGGTGGTATTTTCTAATTTCTACTGTTAAGTGAAAAGTGCACATTGCACATCTTCCTTTGCTGTTAATATTAGTTCGCCATGAAACGTAACCATAGTGGAACGACGATTCTGCTATCATTAATAATTGTCTCATTGGTTTCACAATGTCATTCTATATCGTTTCGACTGTTAGCTAATTCTAAACGGTGTTTGCTAGATACTGCTCAAAAAAATGAACTAGTTACTGGTGAATACAGTATCAGCGAGACGCCATTGCTTAAAACACACATAAAGGTAAGGCGTCAGTCTCTAATTTTCATCCCAATTTTTCGATATGACTAAAAATGCCTACGTGTATCTATTTTATTGGATATAGGTTACTGATTCGAAAAAGGATGTTCTTTACAAGAATGATGGTACTAAACAGGGAAAATTTGCTATCACCTTAGATCATCCTTCAAGTTTCGAAGTTTGCTTCAGTTCGGAAAGTGAATCAAGTACGCATTAGACTTTCAGACCAAAGAATTAGATTTCCCCTTTATTCATTTCCGTGACTTTACCTAAACCTTCGTTACTATGGTATTCAAGATTGAATATTTTTCCATTTTTAGAGAGCCATCTTCCCCCTGGATCAGGACATGATATCACTTACGTTATTAAGCGTGGTGTCGAAGCGAAAAATTACGAGCAAGTACGCGAAATTAGTCTAGAATCCGATGATTATAGTTCAGTAGACGTTGTTTCCCTACTAACATTGTGTGATTTGTGATTTTGTTTGGATTTGTTTTCAAAGGTAATTCTTTTTACAATTTGTACTATATAGGTTAAAGAAGCCGAAAAGCTTAAACCTATGGAGTTAGAACTAAGACGTTTACATGATTTATCTCAGGAGCTTGTAGAAGATTTCGTCTATATGAGAAATAGAGAGGAAGAAATGCGAGATACAAATGGTAGGTATCTAAAGTAAAATACATTAAGCTATACAGTATACTTGTATAATGTGTTAAGTCAAGTTATTCCTGGTGTAGTTCCAAATGTGCTGTGTTTTAATTTTATCAATTCTGTATACTAACTGGGATTGTCCTTGTTTGATGTAGAATCAACCCATGCGCGTGTATTATACTTTAGCCTCTTTTCTATGTGTTGTTTGTTGGTTTTGGCATCATGGCAACTCTATTACTTACGAAGATACTTTAAGGCGAAGAAATTGATCGATTAAAGTTTATATTTGCCTTGATATCGGTCATTTGGTATATTCTTATATGCAATACATTGATGTACTTAATTTACTAAGAAGTTATCGATGAAGTGTATCAGTTTTTGAAATTGCGACGAAGAATAAATCGAGTATGATAATTAATTTATCATCGGCGCGAAGCTTAAAATATCATAGTTGTATCGTTGACATTTAGTAGTTCCTGTAATCTCTAATATCAATAGGCTTTTATTTTTAGAAAGACCTTATTTTATAGTAATACTATACACTACGCTGCATTGGGTATAGTAACACATTAGTTCTACGAGTAATCTACAACCGAATTGTGTAACAGTGTGAGGTTAACAAACGTAACCACTGCAATTTAGTGATGTGATTTGGTAACATGGCATTAGGAATACATTGATATATACTTTCACTAACTAAATATTTGTCGCATTCTTATGGCAACTGTGTCGCAGAGAACGACGAGTTAATAGTATCCTAATGACAATATTGTACGTAAAACCATCTTTATTATGACATGAGGCATAAACAAGAAATGAAATTGTCTTTAATTCTTTATGTTGAATAAATAAAATTAAGAGCAAAAACGGTCCATAATTTGACGACAGCTGATGTCAAGCACAAATACCGTATAGTCATTTCCAGTTGTAACCTAATATCTTATTGTAACTTAGCATATTCAGGAATGTTGCTATTGACTGTATAATTTATATTCAAACAGGCGACATTATGTCCTAGTGAAGATGGGTTCGTATACGTTATATAGCTAAATAGTAGACTAAGAATAACATTAACGATGTGCTAGATGCTGATACAGCCAAAAAAACTGGTAATAAAGTTATCACAGCGTTGAAAGTTTCATTATCGAGATCACATCCACAGTATAATACATATACAGATATTTAGAATATAAAATCAAAGCATAAATACAGTATAAGGCAGTTTTTGTGTAGATTATTTCTTGATCGAACTTTCCGGAATATATCTATAAATGATAGGGTTCAATTAAAACAGTTTAGAGCCACCAAGTTAGTAATCTTAGGATCATATATACTGTTTGTATAAATCGTATTGTACAGTAGTTCTCAATATGTTATAGCAGACCTAATCGTTGCAATATCATCTAAAAGAACGAATGGACGAGATGGTAGCAATTTTATGTCATTTTCCGTCACATTACTGAAAACAGCTTCACAATCTTCTCGGCAATAAACAAAGGAGAAAGATGAATCGATTGCAGAATTGTGCTGAACGTTCAGCAACTCAATATTATCTTGCACATTCTCAGTGGTATTGCGTGCCTTTTGATTACATCTCCTATCTGCATCACCTACAGTATGTTAAGTAACGATTTATTTTATTACAGTATTATCTAATCATACGAAGCTATATTGAGAATTATGAAGTAATTTTTACAGACTACAACTTCTTTATATATTACAATGGTTACTTTATCAGTGAAAGATAATTAATATGTAGATGCACGTGCCACTCTTTAACAATAGCAGGCTTTCAGAAACTTAACCTTGTACTTTTAGATTGAAAATTTCGGCAACATTTTCTCCCTTAGCTAGTGCGGCATTCAATTTATCCCAGGTCAAATTATCCTTATGTAGTAAAAACAATTTTTATATGATTACAATAAAATTTATCATGGAACACTTAATTAAATCCAACGAGCGATACAAATCTAAATTAATAGTCATTTATGTATGTTATATGCTGTACTACAAATATACAGTGTATATAAATCCGCACATTAACGTAGATCTGCCAGCAAGTGCGCTTTTAACATTACGAAAGATACCCTCACACTCTTACCTCCTTGACAGAGGTAGGTTCCATAAGCTAGTTGAGTTAAAAAGGAAAATGTTAATAGAAATCTGATTTAAGGGTGAATATTACGTAGTCAGCTTAAGTATATACTCGTATACTGTGCTAAGTTTGCAAATTGCTGCGCAGTAACGCACTGGACTGTGATGTACGTATACTATATGTTGTAGCATACAATTTTGTAAATTACTCACTCACTAACGAAAGCTATGTATATGCAGGTAATTTATAGATTATAAGCTTTATTTATATTGTTAGTCTACCGACAAAAATTCTCAAAGGTAGGTAATTTCAATGAGTAATAAGTGCATGATAACAATAGGATTAATAAACTAATTCTAAATAAAGGGGGATGTGCAATTGTACATCTTTCAAAAGCAAGTTTGTGATAGCAAGATTGCAAGAGTTGGTCTTTACAAAAAGGGGTATGATCTCTAGAGGGCTAATTAGTAAGTCTATGAAGAGTAACGTAAGAGTATATTTAATTTACTGTAATGTCGAAGTGATTGACTGCTTGTAGCACTTTGTGAGATTTGTGGACTACTTTCTACTCTCTGTGAGATTAGTTAAAAAAGCACTATTCTAACATAGGAATATTTCGCTAAATGTTTACTGTTAATCCAAATTATAGTGTTAAGCACTTTAAATGCATATGAGTAAACTACGCATAGATTAACGTATTATCATTAAGAAGTATAGATTCTACTGATTTAATTTGTAATTCAAGCAATAATGTAGTCAATATAGGATGTAACAGTGCCCAAAAAATCACTTGTTGCTATACGTGCATTGATTTGTAGGTCTAGAACTACTACAAGGATGTAGCTTGAATAGAAGGTTAGAAACCTTCCGGATGCTAGATTATTATTAATATACTGTATTTCATCTAATGCATGAAGGGGAAGGCGATAGTAAAGTACCTACCTTGGACCAAAATCTAAAATATTGGAAGATTAAACTGTTAAACTGTGTTTACGACTTACTTTTACGGTTTTACCGCAATACGAGCTTAACTCTAATGGCTTTACATCTACAGTACAGTACAGTACTGTAAAGTGTACCGTACAGTTAACGAAAAGTACAGTATGCATGGTACAGTACTGTACAATCAATGGCAGAGTGTACAGTACTGTACTGACATACTGTATATACTGTACAGTATATACTGTATATATACAGTATATATATATATATATTGTAGGTCACGTGACAAGCCCGCAACACTACTGTACACTGTACAGTACTGTACTGTACTGTATATTATACTGTACAGTAGTACTTGAACCATACTTTACAGTACAGTACGTGGAGTTGTGCACTTCATGGAGTACCAGTCGCCACTACATACATCATGTACCCCAAAAATCGAAATATGAAGGGTAAAAAATAAAAATAAGTAATAAACAGTTTTTAAATCCAGTCTAACATTTTCTTACATTATTGTTATACATCATGATATGGTGTTTGTTACTGCCTTATTCGTAAAGAGGAGTTTTCAAATTGTTGTTATTTGAATAGAATTTATTATTTTAAAGATGAAAACGTAATTAAGTATAATTATTCAAAAACTTTGAAAATTTTGGAGGGTGTATGACCGTATTTTCCTAACGCGTCTAGTTGTATGAATTCTAAGGTTTTATAATTTATAGTACGATATTGGTATCAGTTGATAACTTGCCAAGCTAGTAGAAGAATCCTTTGTACTTGCAACTATATATTTATACAGCGGTATACGAGGAGTTATATCAATATAAAGACTCAAATAACATAATTAGTAACTAAATTATATACAATTATATCAATATAAAAAAACTCAAGTAACATAATTAATTTAACACGAAACAATTTTATATGAAAAGATAATCGATTATGTATTGTAATAGCTGGTAATTAATCACAGCTAATGGTACAGAATATATTTGCAGAATAATAATCATGTGCTGTAGGGACTATATTTGGCAACATGGTGATGGTAACAGCGCACCAGCTGTGTCAAAGCTACAAGTGTCATCTATGCGCTATATTGTTGCTTTACTGATTATTGTAATTATTACTAACCCTGTTACTTCTAAGACGGTAAAACTATACGATAAATACTATCTATTAGGCGAAAAAACATTAGATATTCTAGATAACGCTGTTTCATATTTACAAAAGCAATATATACGTTTATGCCAACCGTCGCTAATAGGATTACGAATAGCCCAAGGTATGTGGATGGATTAATACAATAAACTGTCTAAGTTTATGCGAATTAATTAATTTTCATATTGTAATTTTCGCTGCTGTATATTATTATTACCCGGTATTACATTATAGTTATCCAAATTGCCTTATACGCATTTATTTAGTGCTACATGTTAGTTGACCTGTCAGGACAATTGCCTCCTGTAACCCTTTCTACGCTTACTTAGCCATTATATAAATAAACGGTATGAAACGACGGGGCTGCCAGTTAATGACTTTTCAATTTGTATGTGCTAAATGAGGTCTAGTGATCTACCATTGAAAATGCATTACAGATCTATATTAACCCGGTTACTGTGGTATTATCTTTCAATCGATAAATTTAGGGTCCGATATAGTTATATAAAGTTAACCCTTACATTTCTTAAAGATTTGAAATGATTTGTAAGATAAAGGAATTAGAGATTGCTTATTTCTGCTCAAACGAAATTTTATATGAAATCAGATTACAAAAATAACATGCAGTAATGCAATATTGTGACTTAATTTTTACCAGTTGTCCAAGAGTAATTATCCTAGAATCGTATCTTGCAGTGAACCTAAGCGATTCAATCGTAATTCCATGCTTTACAAAACGAGCGATACTATAAATAACTCATCATAGTTATCTTAATGCTCGTGAGATAGCAAATTAATTTTCACTCGCTTTAAATTAAAAGTATAATTAATTATTCATTTTATTTTTACTGGCAATAGGACAATTTGAAGTTATTACTAATGATCGGCGCTTTTTTAATATGACGCTGTATTATGATGCTTTACAAATGTATCATCAAATCTCTCGGTTACTACTGGCTGATGCAACATCTGAAGCTACATATTGGTCGAAGAAAAATCAAAAATATCATTCAAGTAGTAACACCCTAGTATCGCAACCTTGGAAATTATCTAATTTGGACCGTGAATTTAAGCTCATACCTGTTCAGATTCGAAATGAACGTATATACGATCATGGGATACATCATGGTAATGATTACGGTATGGCTTGCCTAAACGAGTTAATGGGTCAAAGAAATGCTATGCCATGTACAATATCAGCTGAATGCTGGCAGAGTAACATCCTGGAAGACCTACAAGGTCATAAGCTTGTACGGCAAATTATCTATTTTATGCTCGCAAAAGATTTAAAATGTCATGCACAAGTGACACAACGTTTACTTCATCATAGCAAATACCATGACGTAAATGATTTACTGCAAGCATTTTGTTCTTATGCTTATCTGGAGGTTAAAACTTTATATGAGCAATACGATCTTAAAATGATTCAAGCTCAACAAATATTTTTAGAGGAAATCGTATTTTGTGCAGCATCTGGCTTCTCAGATTTCTACAATTATAATTTTATGAAAGAAGTTTTTCAATACCAATCGTTTAGTGGATGTTTCTCAATGTCTAAATCAAGGAGAAAAATTCGAAATATCGACCATAATGAGAAGCAAGATGCCTATTGCCCTAAATTAAAAGGTACTATCTTTTTCCTTAGTTCCGTAGGTTTCATATATTACCATGTAGATGAATTTTAGGTTATCTTCGATGTAATGTCTTTTTCGTATCAGTAAATGTATTATTTCTTGCTACATCATCTACTATCTATCATTCACTTTAGATGGATGTTCAATGCGCTTAACCGGCATGGCTATAGCATTTCATGCTCTCTATCTACGTCGAATTTTACTAAAAATGAAAATTGCTCAATTCCGCGATGAAAGTCTGAATACTACAGAGGCTTCGAATATTGCTACTACTCTTACCAGTACAGTCTTCAATAACACGACTACATCCACTTTTGATAGAATAGTTAATACGAGCATTGATCTCGACTATCGAACAATCGAAAAAATTAGCACCGTCAATAATAGAATTAGTTCACGATATCATTACTATCAATATTACTTCGTATTCATCTTTATTATAATCGCATTACTTTATATCATTCGTAAATTGTTCAAAAGACGACGACCCTATCGAATGGGTTATAATTATAGACGACTGTAAAATTATAATCAACATTTTACATTAAATGATATCAAGTAAAGAGATCTCAAAAATCAATTAATTTATAGATGATAAACGATTCCTGGTTGGATGAATCGAATTTAATGTGTAGGAATATTTCATTTAAGACAGTATTCTTTAAATAGTGTCAGTTGATTTATCCCCATTAACTACCATCGTTATTTCTAAAACCAGATCTTAAAAACCGTAATATTCCCTCTCAAATTATAATTTCGATCAAATATAAAATAAAATTTCCCTAAAACGTTTACTTTAAAATAAAAATCTTAAAGCAAGCAAATGTTTTGCTATTTAATTCGGTGTTGATTACGATTTTTGCTACTGGGTGATTTCGATTTATTTCTAGAACCATAATTTTCCACAGGTCTTTGTTTCTTAAATTTTTTACGCCTCTGTTTCGACTTGTTTATATTATTTTGCTTTGATTCCCATTCCAATTGTTTTGACGAATTTTCTTTACTTGGTTCTTCTAGTAGATGAGAAAACTAAAAAAAATAACTTTCGTTAAGTCTTTAACAATTGCTTAACAAAGATTTTCTATCGCTTCTAATAACAACCTCTTCAGCATCTGCAAACATGGACATGATATCCTTATTTGGCCTAGCAGGACATTAACACATATTTCCATTAGCTGGTGTGCATTAAAACATTTATTAAATGACTCTATCATTCGCTAACGAGGTTAGTAAGTAATGTACATGTACCTCTTTGCAACACTGCCTTCATTCGATCCATCATCATTATCTTCATCTTCATCAGGGGTCATTTCATCCAAAAGTAACTACATCAAAAATTTGAATATACGTTTTATATTTTAAACTACACTTTTCACTTTCGCCCAAATCTGCGCCTTATTAGAGTAATAATTCTCTCGAAAGTATCAATGGTCATCCCTGTAAATACCTTAGTTAATTTTTCTTCCGATAAATTGTTAGCTACGTTAGAAACAAATAATTAAAATTTGAAATTCAGAGCATCAAAACCTTAGTTCAAAACAGTAAATATGCATTGATACTAAAAGACTAATACCGTCGTTTTCATCAGATTCATTCATGTCGTCATAATCATAATCTAATCGAATAAAGGTAATATTTCACAACATGAGCTTTCATTTAAGTGATATATAAAATAATCCGACAAGCTTTCAACCTTCATCGTCTTCTTCATCAGAATCGTCTGTCGCCTTCTTTCGTTTTTTCGTTTTTTTCGCATTACTCAGATCACTACGAAAGTAATTTATATGTTAAATTTATATTTAACCCTGCAAATGTTCGAATTAACATAGCAAACCTAGCAAAATCTAATTCTCCTGATTTTTCATTTTCTAGTAACAAAACATCGAAAAAGCAATAGAAACAAAATACAGAAAATTAGCAATGAGTGTGCTCCTATATTATTAATGTGCCCATACGTTACCTTCAGCAGAATCTATTTCATCCATATCAAAGTCTTGCATATCCTTTTGCCGCTTCTTTTTTGCGGCTAGTCTTATTACATTAGCTTCTTCTTCCTCACATTTCTTAAAATATCTGTCAGTAGGTATTCATTAATCTTAAATATTGTGATTATAACCTGTGAAAAACATTGACACATTTAAGTGTAGACTATAACAGAAAGTGATAAATATACCGATAAAAGAACACTTCGTCGGGTTCTATCTCTTCGATTGACTTGTTTAAGAAAATTTTAGAGTTGACAGGTTCTTCTCTCAGGCGTTGGGAATGTAATCGCCGCTTATATGAAGTTATTCAAAATGTTGATTTAAAAAGAGCTAATTTTACTGTTATCACATTTTCAGCTATTTTTATAATGTACCTGCATGACTGAGCCTCCATGATCTTGCATAGTTGATATTACAAAAAAATAATGTTACTGAACATTCTAAAAATTAACACTTTTATGATTCTATATACCGCTTATCTGCTTTTTGGGATTCTTATAAGCGAATCTATCCAAGAATCTATTGAGTATCAAAAATGAATTAAGATTAAGATATCATGCAATAATTAATGAATTAATTCAAGGCAGTATGGATATAGAAAGACAATAATAACATAGACAGTGGGACGTAAAGTTATCTAACAACATATCGTTTCAAGCTCTATGCGGACATGTAAATCAAATCAGAAATCCTAAGAGAGCATAATAGCGCGACTAACCGCATAAGCGTGAAATCACTCAATGGATCCCCAGTATAATCAATTGTGTAGCCCTTATTAGAAGGAAGCTTTGTTATTAAAAATTTCAAACTAGTAGTTAAACTCATAACTTAGAAATTTACTTACTTTCAGTAGCGTATCAGCAAAGTGGACAACTGTAGCGTGATAATGATTTTTTAACTAGTAAAAGAATATTAAAATTTAGGTACGCTATTACAGATAAGTCATGAATTAAAGCTATTCATAAAATTTATTTTTTAAATATAAACCGAACCTTTCTCAGTTCCCACATGCTTGAATATTCTGCTCCACAATATAAAGGATTTCGCTGCTTTACATCATAGTTCGTTGCCTTCTTGCTACGATGCAAATAGCCAGATGTATCGCTTGTAACTTCACTTGGTCCTTTTATATTGACATCGAGAATAGCATTTTTATCCAATTCCGTATCACTATCATCTGCATCATCGAAATGTTCTTCTTCATCCGAGCCCTACATTTCATAAAATTCATATTAAGAGAGTGATAATATTTTATATAAATTCCAGTTTTGAGTTATTCCGAACATACCTCTGCACGAAGTAACAACGTTTTTAATCCGGGCTTTAATTTAAATATCTAAATGTGGGAAGGAAAGTGACAGTATGTCAGGATAGAATCTGTGTTGATATTAGCTATGTCCAAGTTAACATTTATACGTGTGATTAAAACTATGTTATGCATACATCTTTGTTGTATTAACTTACTTCCGATAACATGTAAAGAGTACCGCAAACAAATGGCGGTTGCTCGTGTGTACAAACTTGCAACAGTCTCTTAACAAATGCCTATTAGGATTTAAAAATTTAATATATTGAATAAAATCATATTTCTTTAAAGTATTTACCTTGACTCGGCTCAGCACGCTATCAGACTTTAGAGCTTTATAAACAAGATTGAGGAAAAGCGCCTAAATTTGAAAGTGGCATTCAGTTCCAAAATTTTATACAATTAATTTTATCAAGGCTAAACTTTTTAACATACTTGTTTCGACGATTTTCGTAATTTAGAATCTTGTAATTTGAAATATAGGCTTTGATAGAAGCGATCAGTCATAGATTGTCTACGGAAAAATATGCTATGTAAGTCCGCATAGGCAAAGCTAGCATGAAGTAAATAAATGTGTACAGGTAAAGAGTAAGTCGCTTAAACATTACCTGATATCTATCATTTGATATAATAGCATAAGAACCTGATAAAAGACGCGTCAAGACTTAGTTCGTAATTGAGTGTAATTCAACCGAAATAATAAAATAAAAAATGAAATATGTGGTCATACTTGAACACTTATTGTAAAATTGTCTGCATGTACCATTCGGAATAGATTGTCCACTTGTTCTTCGATTGATTTTATGTCATTATCTAATTTTCAAACGAAGTTTGAATAATAGCTGAATATAAGCAAGCGACACATACAACTTGCATTTATTTACCTTTAGCAAAGGGATACGCTCTATTTGTACCAATAAGGATAGAACTCGTTATTCTAGTATCGGAACCTTTTCGTTTCACTGCAGCCTAATTAAAAGTTTGGGGTAGTTACAGGCTTTTTAAAAACGATCTTATGAATGAAAAGTAACAATAACTATATTAATTACCTTAAATAGTGAAATATAGATTTTAATTAATTTAGCTGCGATAGATGATTCTTTTCGGGTAAGAAGGATTTGGTTTAAAACGCATATAGCATAATATCTGTAGAATAAGTTTTCGATCTCGATATTTAAATCAATAATTAAAATGAACGACGAAGCAAATGAGGTACAACTATATATTGCTTAAGATATCCAAAATCGATCTTCTAATACACATACTGTGCCCTTTCTGTAATATTGGGTCGAAATAGAAGTTGTTCAATTTCTGTAATAACGATTAACTTCATATTCGGATGTCTAGTTACTAAGTAATAATGTGTAAAATTTAGTTGCATGTTACTCCCTGATCGAATGAATAGACTTATTACTTACAAATACGTTGAAGTATAAAGGTAGTTTTAGAGGCTACTTTTTTTTCTGGATCACCAAGTTTATTAACAATCATTGGCAAAGTAACCTGTTATGAAGTTATAAATAACAGAACTTATTACCGGAATATAAATAAAATCTCTCAAACAAATTGACATCATACATTTTCTAGTTCAGGCTTTCCGCAAAATAGATCAAACAATATTCCTAATCATGAGAACAGAGATCTTTTAGCCTTATGTAATAATTCATTATTTACTACTAGAAAACTCTAATAAATGTACAAAATCATACCGAGGACTTTATTTTTAATATGTAGTATAGAATCATTCAGCATGTTCTAGAATCAGAATAGAAACTCAATTTTTAGGTGCTATGTAATTATATAATTAACTATTCCTAAGTAATACGATAGCAGCGATTCAACACTGCGATAGTATACCTTTATAATAGATATAAGCTCAGCATATAGATCTTTTAATTGTTGTTCAAAATGCCAGTATATTAGTAGCTTATCACGCAGTTCTACATCTTTATTTGAGTCGTGCAATTCATTCAAGACATGCAATGGTTGCTAAAATAGATTAAATATGCACGAATATAATAGAATGCGAGTAGAAACAAAGTTATCATTGTGTACATACCAATTGCAGTTATTAATCCTATATTAATTTGCTATACCTGAGACAATTTCTTCAATTTTCTATCATCAGGCAGTAAATTGGAAAGTAGAACTTCTTTTAGGGTATCTAACAACAATAAGATCTTGTATTACAATTTATACTCTACGATAAAATCATAGAATTAATTTATACTGTAATTGATGTAAATCATAGTGACAATATTTATTGTACCAAGTGCCAAAAGAGATTCCCTTTTTCCTTTTTTTTTACTCATCCCAATAAGACTTTTGAGACTTTGTAAGTTATGCACGGGAGATTCCTATTATCATCAGTACATTGGATCAATTATAAATCATACATATTTCCTTATTTACAGAAGTTATGAAATTTAAGCATAGGTGATGCCTGCAAAGTTGTAATGATCGTACAGTATCTTCCCTGAAGTATGTTTCATATAATTTTTATGTAATAATATAAAGAAAGGAAATGGAAACATTTTCACTACATCCGTTGCAGCACCTGTAACAGCACAGCATGTGCGGCGGTTTTATCAGTAAGTGTACCCGAAGCCATAACTGTTTTTAACCAATCGAAATCACTTTTTCTATCTTTTGATTTTTCTTTAAATATATATATACATTTCATGAAATAATAAATTAATATAAGTTAAATATGTTAAAGACCTGATGCTTAGCATAAAATAACTTTATAAGCACTAACTATGATGATAAAGTTCGCTTTCATTCGATATTAATTCAGATGCAACATTTTCGTATGTTTTAAGCACGTCAGAGGTGGATTTTCTTATATCTGATTTTGGAATAGTTTCCTGACATTCTTCCAGATCCTGATTGAAGGATTGATCAAAAAATAGGTTAATAGTATAGTGTCTAGGCATATATTTGCACTACTCAAATAAAATTGATATTAAATCAGAAATAGTAATAAACTGATGATTTCTTTCATAGTAACCTTATACCATAGACCATCTAGTTCTAGAAGTAAATATTTTCGAATTGTAGTATGGAAAGAGCATGGCAGAACTTTTTGAAATATTTTAGATTGGTCATTATTATCTGGGAGAGTCTGATTATTTCTTGCTAATGTACTAGTATTCTCTAATATTTGTTGATCCTTCGCATTGCCAATGTTAGACACAGATTGATCCCTGTTTACGGTCCCAGTATTATTTTGAATACTGTCATTCGATATCTTTTTTTGCTTTTTCTTTGATTTCTTTTTATCCTTACTTTCTGCATAGTTAAGATCGTGAGCTTGTATTGCAGTAGAAACTGTTGCTCCTAATTGGAACTTAGCTAAACCAATGTCCTTGATTAAAGACTTTATCTGCAATAAAAAACCAGAGAACTTTAGACAATATAGAGAAGCAACTGTTGTAGCAGGTTAGTTATTATGCTACATTGATTTACACTATTACTAATTAATCTTTACGCAAGGATTATCACCCAGATAGAAAAATAAACAGAAGTTGGTTATACCCTTCCTCTAGATGGCGATTACAGAAAATTCAAATATTTACCTCCTTTTGGGCAATGTCTTTACCAACGTCCTTGAAAGCACTATCAGTATCGATATCTCCAATGACATCGCCATCAACAGATTGTATTAACTTGAAATCATCCTATTAGCATATTTACACAATATTATATATATATACTACATATTAAATATATATCATTAGGTTTGTAAGAATGGCTAGAGGCAATAAAAAGCTAGATAATTTTAGCCTTAACGACTATCTATGCATGCAATAAATAGGTTGTTGCATCAAGAATTAAGAATTTCTACAGTAGTTAATAAGTGAGTAACACCTCTTTATATAATAAGTAATAATCTAAAATGATGATAATGATTGCTACCATTCTGGAGTGCAGTACACCAGAACAGTCAGGTCAACTAAATCCTGTATCGTTTTGGTTTTCTATTAAATAGATATTACAAAATCGTCGTTCTATTATGATCCCTCGTAGATACAATACGAATTAGATCAGATAGTTAGCTGAATCTTATCGAGTATTCCTGTCCTATAATACGTATAAGTGTGCAATAGCATTGATTAACCTAACGATAGTCATGTCTAGACCAGTTCCTACTGTACTTTATTTGTAATGTTGCAAATTCTTGACATGATTTCGTCCACAAAGAATACAATCTAGGTCCAAGCAAAGTGTAGCTCTAAATTTTCAGTTGATTCACTACGACATTACTAACTGAATATCTACAGTAGAAACATCGTTATTTACCTCATCACCACTAAGAGCGATAATATCTTCCATTTGGAGATCATTCTTTGCAGAAGCCATGACTCCTAGCTCAACTTGCAGCTCAGCAGGTGGAGATCAAGTGGACGACAACCAACTATCTACCCAACACAATCCAGTCTTGTCTATACTCGACTAGTTTTATTAACCACATGTTCTGTACAGTAATCGCAATTACAGTATCAGGCACTATTCCATACGTCGTACTGTCGGTCGTCGTAGTACAGCGTACCATACAGCAGTGACCGCTGATATAAAAGAGCGAGTGCTAGATTGGCTACCACTAGTCTAAAAAAAGCCTCTCAGTAAAACACTTCATCAATCGATTTGGTGAAATTCTCATTTCCTCCATCTTGTTGTATTCCATGAACGTTATTCAGATTAGTTAACCTTCTAAAAAAAGAATCAATTATGTCACTACTGGATAATATTGTATTGGGTAGTGAAAAAGTACCAGTAGTGTTAGATATTGGAGCTGCATATACAAAGTAAGCGTTTTTTTATATGTAAAAATGATTACGGATAGATTTGAAGGCTGGCAAGTACATAAATTTGAACCAAGACTACTCTAGTAACTTGTTTTATAAATTAATGATCGTTTTAGTCGTCCTATTTGGTGCTTTTAATGGTGTAAAAATGATTATCTTTGCTTTTGTTGGCAGTTTAAGACAAATAAAGCAACCCCCTATCAATCTAGTCTATTAACCGTCGTTTGTCCATGTTATTCCTATACTGTACGCGTATTACACTTGCTTCATTTGCCTCTGCTACTGCTAGACAAGATGATGATTACACGATTGCTATTACCATTTATTAATTTAGTCCTTTCTTCAGTGATCACTACACGTGCTTTATTCTCTCATTTCTGCAATAGGAAATAGCTGTACAGCTTTTGTTACTATTAGATCTATTACTTTTATTTACGCTTATAACATTTCCAAATCTAAACTATCATTGTTGAGAATAGTTTTAATATTCGTGTTAATAAAGTATTAGCGGCATCCTAATCAAGTATCGAAAATTAATCAAGATTGGAATAATTTTTGTGAACTAATTTAATGACAAAATTGCATGCTGTCAATAGTAGAATCTCAATTTAATAGAGGTAACATACGGTATATTAGAAAGGATTAATCATGTTCCCTTAAACCATGCATAATATTGTATTTATAAAGATGTGGCTTTGCAGGAGAATCGTGCCCTCGACATATTTTGCCAAGTTCTGTTGTTACCTGTGTCGATGGCAAGGTAAGCTGAGATAGATAATTCTTACGAAGCTACCTCAACTTATGATTAAAACGGACTTATTTTCAACTCATTTTCTGAATTCTAGGAGAAAGTTGTCAAATTCATCGATTATGCAGGAAATAGCCAAGAATTAGTCAAGTTGCTAAAACGATTTATCCATAACATTTTTTTCAAGTATGGGACAGCATAAATTTCTTGCTTATTGTAATGCATCTTAATTTGCTTATTTTTAGCTGCTTAACAAATTTGACGTCTTTATTCACTTTTCATTCTTACAATAACTAAGGTATCTGCTAGTCAATCCAAAAGATAGGCGTATGGTTATTGTAGAATCTGTTCTATGCCCTAATACGTTCAAAAATTCCCTTGCAAAAGTCATCTTTCAGCATTTCGAGGTATAGTAGAGTATACTGTATATAAAATCGATTAGACAATAGATCGTTGCTGTACCATATTATCGATTATTACATATGATAGAATTGCATTATGACAACTTTAATGCGTAACATTTTAATATATGTGATGAAAATCAGGAATAATTAAAATTGTTTATATTTATCACATCACGGTATCCATTCTTTATTTACAAGTTAAGTAAAACGGCCTAGATTTTAGCTAAAATTACAACTGATCATCTTTACGTATCTATATCGTAATATTATGTGATCTGATTGATAAAATTAAGGTAAGATAGTTAAACCATCGTAACCTTTCTTTTCCTCCGTGAATAACAGATCCAATCGGCTATGTTTGCGCCAGGCCATTTAATGGGTTTATATAGCTTAGGGCTCACAACTGCGATGATAGTAGATTGTGGCTACAGTGAGGCGATAGTCTTACCATTTTATGAAACTGCTTCGTTATTTAATTGCTGCCAAGTCTCTAACCTTGCCGGGAAAGTGATAAATTCGTAAGTTAATTTCATAGTAATCAAAAATATCGTGATAAGTATAAAAAATCAATTTAACGTACATACTGTATGTGCAGGTACCGTATACAGGAAAGTTAACTTAATAATAATTCTGAAATATTAACTGTTATCATAAAATTCAATGTACAGTATAACCAAAAATTACACTATCACCATATCAGAAAATAGTGTTAGAGCACGTTGTAACACATAGATCTAGCTATCGAAAAGTATAATATCTTTCTAAAGATAGTCGTATTTATTGTTAGTTATTGATGATTCGGAATTTCATCCTTTAGTTGTTAAAGTTAATCGAAGAAATTTTAAGCTAAAAACTGTTGAAAACAAAAATACTTAGTTAAATAATTAATAAAGCAGTATCGTCGTTTATGAAATACTTTTAACTATTCTAATGTAGTCACCTAGAAAAGCTTTTGTTGCTGTACGCCTCGATAACTTATGGTAACGAAACGAAACCTTTCGCTGCCGAAAGAGGTACACTTATATTGTATGCTTTTAATCTACCGTTACAGATCTTTCAAGTAACACCCCTTCGAAATTTAATAGTAGCACATTTATGATATGTTTTATCTCTTAAAAGGCCCTTTAACAGAAGATATACTAGAAGAGATCAAAGGTATTCCTTATTATTAAACATTCAAAGCTATACAGTATTTTATTTCTAACAGTAGAATTTGTACGTCTATAACTCTTTATTATGTCCTGATTAATTTAATTTCTAATTTTATTTGTATGAATATATTTATTCACGCATTTGATTACATAACGACTCCTACATACTCTGTCATAAAATTTATAAACTAATTTCAGTAAAGGCATGCGTGTCAGGTCATAATCCGAATTATGAAGATAATGCTTCTGAGTCTACAATAAAGGTACGAGCATTTACGTCAGTAGAAACGATAAATAGTGTGATTAATTTAATTTGGTCTTACCGTCGACGAGATAGCCTCTTCCCGCAAAACCTATGAAGTTCCATTTAGGACCAAGTAAGGTTCTAACAATCCCTGGCGAAGTTAGGTATGAATTTCCTTTATGAAATACTAAACTGATCGTTTTTTTGCTCTTTCGTATAATTCTTCGGGAAGTAATAATACTGAATTCAATTTTTAATCATTCTCTCCAGGGATAAAATGTTAGATGCAGTCTTTAAGCCGGATTGTAATGATATATCTCTTGCATCAATGATCATAGACTGTCTGCTTATGGTAAGTATTTCATGATATAACGCCGTCAATCACTAAGGGGAAATTCCAGCTGGATATGTTAACCTACCACATGCTATAATTACTGTAGTGCCCGATCGATATTCGTAAGGACTTAGCGGCAAGTATCTGTGTAACAGGTGGTTGTGCAGCTATTCCGGGATTTAAGTAAGCCTATTTATTACGTAATAAGCTAATTGCTACTAGCAGTACCAAATGTCCGTAATATGATTCATTCTGGCATTAGTTGGCGTCTGAAAGAAGAGTTGACAGTATTAGCCAATTCACCACGCTACAAGGATGAACTATGCGTTAAGACCTTTAAATTTTATGAAACAGTCGTACATCCGAATTATACAAATTGGCTAGGAGGTATCAAATCACTTATAGTCTTTGTCAATATATATTTAATATATACTTAGTCAACTGTAAGAAATATCTGACATATTGTTGATTATAATTAATAATCGAAATTGAAAGGATCGATTTGTGGAATATTGGAAAACCTTCCTGATCGATCAATTTCACGGGAGACATTTCTGAAAGCAGAATATGTACCTGACTGGACGCATTCAAGGAAAAGGTTAAGAAGTGTAGCTCAAGCTATCATGAAGAAAGTTTCTGGTGAAAAGACGCCTAGCTTAGCGTCCGTTGTTAGTAAAATCATGACCTCATCAGCGAAAGCAAAATTACCTAAAGTTGCTATAAATGATGATAGTTAAATATAGCATAACTATTTGTAAAGAAACGACAAACGAATGGATCGTGGATGGATCTAACAGCTAGACCCTCTTTTATATAGCGTATTATATTAGTAAAATTTTTAATAACTATACGTGTTTATCTATTTGGTTTTTCCTTAATGAGATGTAGTTTTGAATGCGTTATTGTAAACCTGTGACGAATATGCTACCAGTTAACGATCGCCGTGTAGAATATATATTATATCCTCGCATAATAGCGGAAGGGCGATTTCATTTTAAGCAGTTTCTGTTATGATAATCTCCTAAAAATGAAATTTGCAATTTCAGTTTGTATAGATTTTGATGTATGCGTATATGCATGATGATGCCAATTATTTATGTTTGCGTTACCTGTTCCATTGGAACTAGTGAAATTATTTTATATTATAGCATATTTTAGGATTACTTGATGTACCATATTTGATGACGAAATAATTTTTACTTGCTTTAAATTTCACCTTATTGTATTTTCTGTATCTTGATACACATGATATTATATATTAAAGGTATTTACGTATTTTGTATTTGCTTAAAATTTGTGACTGCTAAATATATCTCCATCGAAGGAATTCATGAAACTTATATATCATTACAGCCATATCCGATTATGTGAGATTACTCGTATTTAACCAAATTGGGCACGTCCTGGTAATAATAATAGGCCTTGGTAAGCTTTACATATGATCGTATAGATTTTATAATACCGTAAGTGTGTTCGATGAAAGTCGACTTTAATTATATTAACTTAAGAACAGACAAATGAAACTAATATATTAAATAAAGTAAATGTATGTAATTGGAGCTTTTCACCTTTGCAGCAGTACTACAACTAACGTACTTGTTGATCGGATTAAATGATTACACGGTATTTACACAACCAAACTAAATTCGATACCAAGTCATATTATGAAAAGAAGCATAATTCGCATTTCAAGATTCTACAGTGCATTGACTATTTGCGTTCGAGTTCTTTATTTACCTAGGCCTTCTTGCAGACTCATAATGTTAAAATTACCTTTAAGCGGATAAATTTGGCTTAAGGAAAATTCTGATAATAAAGAGTATTTACCGCATAATCCTTACGATAATTAGTGCATTCGCTCATGTGTTCATATAACTTACGAGTATAAGTCATTACTGAATAAACTAAAAAGAGAATAATGCTACAATTATAATTATACTACAGTTATATCGAATATCGCAAGTAGTAATTTAGTGATATAAATAAACTGAAGACTATTGAATTCTCATTTGACGCCGTAGTTAAAAGATGTTCATCTATAAATTGATTATACAGTAATTAGCACCAAGAGAAAAACGAACTGTTGGTGATAAGCTTATAAAGGTAACTAGGCTATAGCTCGAATATATTAGTATTTCTATGAAGACCAAGCGGGTTTATGAACACTTTACATTGCACAAAGACTTGACCGATTAATGAATCCTAGGTAATGGTTCGTATAGAGTGAACTTATAACACATGGAATCTGTATATCTTATTTCTAGACAATTTATCAACTACTGCCACACAGTTTTTGAAATGTATTAGTATTCTATAGTTATTATTGAAATTCATAATTGATTAACAACGTAGTTTGTATAACCCAATAATCGAGACGTAATTTCTTAATTCCTTGGTTCTATCACCAATAATAATAATACATAGTTACATCACTTTCTTAAGTGATAATATCAATAGATAGTGCAAATATATTAATCCTCTCACTGGGCACAGGAAAATGATAACTGAATAATATCACTAGTGCTTACATGGATAATTTTTACTTTGTAAAATGAATATATCTATTACCAACTTGTGAACAATTTTTTTATCTATAACCCCATATTCTTATAAAATCAATCAGTGCACTATATATCACTTTTATGTAGCATGTATATTGGATATACATAATAATCTGGTAGGGGCAAGTTCATGCTGCGTAGGAATGTACCAAATCAGTATATTACAAATCACATTTATTCATGATTTATATTGTTAAAAATTCTAGCGATCACTCCAATCATTTGTCGTATTGTTGTTAAGACAATTAATCTATTTCTATTGTTTCCCAATTAATTATTTTGACAAATTCGATTGATCGACGATCATAACTTTGTCGAACTGTTAGAAGAGAGCCTTATGCCAAGGATAAACTTGTTTCTCTTATCAGTAATTATCACTTAGTATTATCTTTTTGATAACGTTTGTTTCAAGATTATCGAAGGAAGGTAAGATATTGGATACTACCGATAAAAGTGTAAATTTGTTATAAATCAATCATTTTATGCATTATATAAATTGTCTATTAGCCATTATTTGACAGTAGATACAATAGAAAAGACGTAAAAGGATGTTCGCCTAAGCTTACATTGACAAAATGATGAAGTAGGAAGGACAACGGGTTTTATTGATCAAGCCCACTCTGAAAGGATTAGCAATTGTCTTAACTAGTATCTTTCTATCTTCGGCATTTCATGCATATTTGTTAAGTTGGTCTACTTGTGATTAACTTTTTCTCTTAATGCTAACCTAATTCGATACATCCGACTAAAATGCCAGAAGACCCTAATTTAATCAATTTATGCCCTACCTTTTCAAATGTTCCTCTTATAGTGTCTTGAGCTACAGCAAAACTATGATCCTACAAATCTATAAAATTCAAGCTAATGGACATAATATCACTATAAACTAATTTACTCAACTTTTATATTTTCCCGAGACTTGTGTAATATGTTTATGTGTAAGTGCGATTACTAATTTCAGAAAATCTCGAGTATATATACTACAACAAGCTGGATAAACAGAAAACAATCATCCATGCAACCCCACTTAAGATCATTTAATAGGTTATTAAATTACAAAACGATTAGTAAATAATTATAGTTAATTTCGTAAGTTAAAATGGCGAATTTTCCATCAAAACATCTAACTAAATAAGGATGCAGTTACCCACAAGTTGCTATAATCTAGTATTTAGCGAGCATTATTTATTCATATCCCTGTTATAAGTAAAATATTGCTTCCTTATCTTTCAAAACATATTAATCTAGAGAATGAACGATGTGGTAAGGGAAATAATATTAGTTGGTAAGTTGATATAAATTATGCTATGGTGAATTCAAAACTTTATCATCTCATTATATCTATTAAAAGTTACATTTAATCAGAGATCCCGAAAATAAGAGTAGCTAGCCTTCATTGTGAGTAATAGACATTCCAGTCTTCGTTTATTGTATTTAATTATTGTTTGAAGGATGAATATGGCAAACAAAAAAATAGTCTGTAATTTTAGGTAAAAGCTAGTAAAAACAAAAGGTTAATAACTAAATATTGATTGATTTATTTGTCTTCACATGCTGATTTGTGTTGACATCTTTCACCATACTAAACAATTAGTTATGCCTAGAAAACAGTTGATTGGATTCGATTTAAGACACTAACTTTACCCATTCTTTAATCGCGATCATAATTTATGAAATAAAGTTACGCTAGCTTTAGCAAAATAAATAGATAATTTTATTAACTAAGGATATAAAACATAGCTATTTATTCAATTTAATAGTTGAAGCTAAGGTTGCTAAAATGTTACTAATACTTCTCGCTGTAGTAATTTTTGGTATGAGAACAGGAATAATGCCATAATATTGTAAAGATACTAATTTTATGACTAGATTGAATTTCATTTTTTTCGTTGGAGATATTAACATCATGATAATCAAAAACCGTAGTATAGAAAACTGAGTTAGTATCATAAATAGTTTTAGGCAGATTTAGACAAATTAATCAAGTTATAGTATCTCAATGAATCAAAGTTAAGCGAAGCTTTAACAAACAAATCCAAAATACAGTATGATTCTGGCTTCATTAAATCTATATTTTATTCTGCTCTGCGAGTGCAGATAATAAGTTGACGATCTTGTTTAAACCCAACGCCATCAGATAAAAATAGCGGCGCTTGAAAAAAGTAATTAATTCATTCTTACTGTTGTGTAATTAATTAGTGAACGTCAGCCCATCATCGAAATCAATAGCTAGAAACAATAGTCTCGTCCAATTTGCGATCGTCATCACTTGGTCCACTTAAAATTAATATTTCCATGACAATAAAACGAATTATAATCTACTTGAATAATCACTCAACTTATCTCGGTATCATATCTAAATTCTAAGTGGTAATTTACAAGTGTTGTCTGATCTCTGTATAGCTTTTTATTTTATGACTTTCCCTCCGTAACCTTCAGCTTAGTAAATATTAATGGGTTATACCTCCTAGAACGTTATTATTCATTAAATTTTTTGATAATACTGATTTATTCTATTTTATTTGGATTCATTATTAAGTTGTTTAACATAGACAGTTTATAATTTGAACGTAAAATTAATTGCGAGTAACCGTTAAATTTTAATGTTTTTTTTTCTTACTGACAGTGAGCATAGGAACATAATCATACCCGTTGCAAATAAGTTAGAAGTAAAATTATTGAAAGTTTAGTAGAATGATCTTTCTAAAAAATAGACGCCGCAGATTAAATTCAAGCATTTCTTCTATTTCAATCCGCCATACGAGCAGATTAATAACAAATTCATAATTGATCTGATTTATGGATTTAATTTTGATATACTATGACGTATGACATGTAACATTTTATTTAACTTTTCATGTTTACTGGTATATCGTTTTTTAATCATGATGGAGTAATATCATTTACGTTAATAATTTTATCCTGATGAAAGAATAATATAGTAGACAATGGTGTGATGCAATCCTAAATTAAATAGTCTATAACATGAATGGCTTTTTAATTACGATAATTAGTCGGTGCTATTTTGGCTAAAGGATTTCGAATTAATTCTGATTGGTATATTTGAACACGAAACAATTTTTACCTTGCGTCGTGATCAATCAGTTAATGATATCAGTACCTGCATGTATAGCAAGCGCATATCGGTTTGTGCGTATTAAAGTAGAAATGAATGC